GGGCAGAAGGATGGGCGGCACATCTGTGTCCATTTACCAAGAATTAATTGGCTGCTGTGATTCTCCTGTTCGACAGGCACACGAGATGCGTCCGTATATCGAGCAGAATGAATCAGAACGATCGAAACCCGTCAGCCAGCATTAGTGAGCCGATATCAATGTATCTTCAACAGTTCAGCCTGATAATATTCTCATCTCTTTCAATCGAGGAATCCATGATTTCTGACTCAGACTGCGATAAATGGAAGTCATTCGAACGTGCACACATGAACGCGTCGAGAGATTAGTAATTTTAGTATTAATCGTTAAGTTAGAGCTTAAGTGAAGTCACTGAAATCTTACAAATTACAACGTTATTTTTAGCTTTAACGATTAAAGCTTTTTTAAAGATTTATTTATATTTACAAGCTTCAAATAAGGATTTATTTGAAAATCAGCAGCGCCGTATCACAATTAATTCTAACTCAGTTAATATCACTCTGTACCAAAGGTCAATTCGTCAAACTTAAAGTCTCCGAAATTATTGTCCAAACTATTCGCTTCTCATAACTGATAATGTCCAAACTAATCACTTCAATACCCAGAGTTGCGATGAAACTATTAAGGCAAAAAACAGAAACACGTAGAGATCAAGCGCATGTAAAAGTATCGATTCGATATCGAGCAAGATCGAATTCCATGAATCGATAGGTAATTGACGATCGAACAGATCGATCGTTTGCAGTGCACGCGTAGATAGCAGCCACCTGTGTGGTTCTTCTTTTGAACGACGTCCACGACAACAAAGATGAGGTGGAGGTGGATGAGGACGAGGTGTCGCCCTCGCAAGAACTACTCGCCCACGAACGATCAAGCTTCCTTTTTTGGCGTACCGAGTTACCGTTTGAGCATTATGAGTCTTGTGTTGCGCTATGGACGAGAGCTGCAACATGCTGCTCTCAGCGCGGCGATTCCTTCCTTCCCCGCTTTTTCGATGACTTCCATGAACACGTTAAATACCGTCCAACGTTTGCCTTTTCGAAGTGTCACCTTCACGGATGAATTCATAATCCTGCCGACGCGTTATTCATCGATGATTAGCGATAGATGGGTTTCGTTCTCTTTATGCGGATCACTGCGATTTTTTTACATTGTACACCGATGATAGATAGATTTATGAGCGTATTTTTCTAAACCAGAGTTTCAGGAGCCTGCTCCTTCGAGCAAGGAGCTCGATAAATTCCTAAATCGAGAAGATTTAAAAGGGCAATTTTATTTGCAATCATCGTCGATAAATCTAATAAAGTATCTTTTCACGTGTTTATTTCATCAGGAAAGATATTTCTATTATTTGATTTTAAAATTACTAAGAATTCCAGACATTCACATTGTTACTTCAGGAAGAAATTATGTCATCTTTCACTTGCAGATCACGTAACTAACAGTAAGGCGTAGAGTAACGAGCGAGTCATAAAATACAAGATAACAATATTGGCATTCTCTTTCATTACCAACCGAGGAGATCCAATGAATTCCGCGTTATTTATAACACTATTTCCAGGAACATTCGATCCTATCGTTTGTGATATAAGCATCGAGAGACAAGGATTGTAATAAATTGCAAAAAACAAAAGAGATTACATAAACATGAAGAAATTAATATTAACTTCAATATATTCTAACTGGAATATCCTTTGTTTAACTAAACTATAAAAAGACCTTTGATTGCAACGTTCACCACATGAAATATGAACAAAGAAAAGAAACAATATTAACGACGAATCAATAAAAACGTAATTTAAAGTTAACAGAATCAAATTTGACTGTTAAGTTGTTAATTAGAAATGACACAATGATTAGACCAGAGTAATCAAAGGCGAACGAAAAACACTCACGAAAATTTGAGAGAATCTCCACTTTTCATCACATAAATCTCACCTGATTCACGGGATTGTTCGACTTGGACTATTTCTGTTAAGTTGATAAGTTGCTCTATCGTCGAACAGTGATCATAGGGCGGCCCTTGGTCCGCCCCTGCGATAGCTCCTCTCGAAACACAGCACAACATTGAAGAGCATGGAGACGCACCGACTGAGTCTTTCCATCGGCACGAGGCTGTTCTTGTACGCAACGTGTATCCGTGATCTCGTTCTCTTCTCTTGTTAAATGGAGTTTATTTTAGGTGTCACTGCGAGAGAGTCAGGAACGTTTGCTCCTTCCTTTTAATAGCGATAGGATTGATACTCTCACTCTCACTTTACTCTCTCATTCTCACTCTATCAAGAAAATTAGTTGAGGTCAATTTCTAGATAACTTCTAGTTCTAAATTTTTTAATGTAGTAAGAGATAAGGGCATATATGTGCATATGTATATATTGCGTGCACTTATTTTCTCTTGAATTCAAATGTAATATTAAAAATTGCAAATATAATGCCTCCATATGTGAAAATTACCTTTTCTAAGCCTTTTAAAATATTTTCTAATATTATCTTAAGTAAATTTCGAGCAAGTAAAAATATTAAAAAGAATTTAAAATAATATGAGGACAATCTTTTTTGGACTTAATAAATTCGTCTCTGAGGAGTTAAATAATTTTATGAAGTATCAAATACGACGCTTCGAATAAAGTGTAAATGTGATTTTAGATACACGATGCCTCTTTGTCACCTAAGCCGTCACGACAGATTGTTTTGAAACATATAGCGAATATCTATTCATTATGTAAGACGAATTATGTGGACTTTTTTCCATTAAAAACCTACGAATAAGTTATGTATATATATATATATATTTTCTTTTCCTTTTTATACTTAATCCCACTCTATTATATGAAAGCACTAATGATCTTTTAAGAACAAAATTCAAAGAGTAACAATGTAATTGGCATTAAGTTGCCGACGAAATTTTAAAAAGTTTCGAATGTGAAATTGCATTCATATTGTCGATAAAAGTTCAGCAACGTGTGCAATCACTGCCTAGAGTTTACTTGCAAAGAAGTAGCGGTTACACACAAGTTCATGTTCTTAACTCATTTTACGGGTTTCAATTCCGGTAAATATTGTGACCATGTAACATGGATCACTCTTAAATATAATGATTTAATATATCGATGTCATATATGTACACACGTAGATTTAATCAATACTGTCAGGAGTACATTAAAAACACATACAAGTCCATATATGTATACATTGGAATAAGTATTGATGTAAGAAACATTTCAATAATTGAATAACTTGAACAATTTATGTACGTTCAAACAATTAATTATATACGTCTCTGATTCGGAGAATAATAACAATGATAATCATTACTTATCTAACAAATCCAAATTATTTCTATAATAATGACAAATGCAACTAAAAGCATTTCGAAGGTTAAGGCAAAATTTTCTTTTGATAGAAATAGCAATAGAATTATTTTCAAAATTTCAAATAAATTTTAAAATAAGATTTCAAATAACCTAAAAATTAAAAATTCAAATTTTCATGTAAATTATTAAATAAAACCCAATGAATTAAACAATTTGCAGTAATTTTAATAAAAATAACTAGCAGATATATGCAGTAATAAACATTATAGCAGTATTTCATGTCTATCATTTATGACATAAATATCACATACGTTACGTTCGATCGCAATTGTATCAAGATTGTATGTCGATTATTCATTCGCCAGGCATCAATCCGATTTTGTGTAAAATTCAAAATATGACCTCACCTTTTGCCACTATTTTTCATTCGAAAGGAATCGATCTATTCGATCAAAGATCAGAGATCAATGCTAGCTCCTTTCTTTTCCGTTTATACATATGTACATCCGAATACCTTCGCGTTCGCGTGGTTCTTGTATACATATATTATTAGAAAACGGCTCCGGCTACGAAACTGGAACCGGACGGAAGTATAACACGAAGAAAAACTCACGCGGCAATCGCTGGGATCTCTCGACGCGTTATTTGTATCAGGCGAATTGCCATGACTTCGTAAATACTAACAGAGACTGTTTGACATATGCAAACTTACCCTCAACCTCCGCCATGTTAGTTGATAGGGGAAACAATGATTGCCATGGTAACCGATGACAGATTCTCTGACAGTTGGAGAGTTCAGAGGTTTGATGAAATTATTCTTGGATTGCATATAACATTGCTCCCCACTTCATTTGATTATTGATTTATCTGTTATCTAAATTTTATATACTACATTCTGTAAGATTATTGAATAAAAACTTTTTGTTTGTTTGATTTATTTTTGTAGAAATTTTATCGAGTTCTTTTATCCAGTTAATTTAATTTATCCAGTGTTCAAGTCTTAAGAATATTTTTCTTATTATTATTATATATACGATTATTTTTTACTTTAAGAAATTCCTTTATAACGCTGTTTATGCAGATATTTAATTAATTTGTATGACCTGTCCCCTATGTCTATAAAGTATGAGTTATGGACAAGGATTGCAACAATTTGCAACAATTATGTTATAACCAAAATTAAACAAGTTACAGTATAAGAATTAATAAAAATAAAAAAAAAAGAATTCTGTTTTCGATAATGGTCGCCAGTAGAGAATTTTGATTATTTATAATGGTTTTTGTACCCAAAACATTTAAAAGTATAGTTATTTGTAACAAAAACACTATTTAATGTACCGAATAATTGGTTAATGTACAAATGTAACCAAAATATTTTTTAAAAAATTTCTTTAAGATTTAGTTTGTTCATTATATTACATTTAAGCAAATATTGTGTTGTCAATGACTTTTTATACAAAACTTAGAAATATCTATTACTTTTGATTCTAGTTATAATTGCTATTGTTCTGTAGTTCTGTATAAACTGATATAAATGATCATATTATTCACATTTATTTATGTATTAAAGAGAAAATAATTTTTTTCCAGTTGATTACTATTTAATATTTTATATTAATATAAAGAATGGCTTGCTATTTGTAAAATTGAGGATCGTCATTATCATTACTTTAGCCAAATCATGATTTACAATCAGTATATGTCACAAGTTACATTTGCTTTCGAAAAAGTAACAGAATTAATACTATTATTTTACAAAGAAATTAATATAAAAGGAATCAACCTAAAATGTTAAGATTTATAAAGAAAGATATTTTTATTTGTTTTCAGGTATTTCATTTTCAAAATAAATTATATATATGTATAAGTACATGTTACGTAAAGTATGTGTTACCGTACGTAATGAAGGTTATATAACCTAATTCTAATAAATTATTTTTCATTTGCAATTTTATTGATAAAGATTTTAGTTATGTGTACGTTTTGGAACATACATATTAATATAACACAATTAAAGATAATGTCCAAAATTTTGGTTCCAAATAGATACAAATATATATATGTAGAGGCATTGATACCTATGAAGATTTACGGGATTACACGATTAGAATCTAGCGAGAATTGTGAAATTGCTTCAAATTCTTCCTTCTATTGTATGTATATGGATATTGCAGGTGGGAAGATCTAGTACGAGGACTTTTTCTATAAATAGAATGTTGTTTTCAGAAGAAAAATATCTAGAAATCAAGGAAGATAATGGAGTAAGAATATATTACATCTGCAAAGATAGTACCAATAAATTTCCTATTTCCCATAGATATTAATTTTAGATCTACAGTAAAAAATATATTATTAACTATTAACATATTAATTTAATTATCATTTACTAACTATCAATAATATTATAAATATACTATTAAACTATCTTTTCCTTTTTTTGCAATTAGGTAAAGACATTGATATTAAATCATCCAGAATCTCGCAATTCTTTATCTTTGAAAATGTTAAAGTCTTTATTAATAAACATAAAAAAGGATGAAGATAGTAAAAATCTTCGATCCATAGTTATTAAATCTGGATTGGAAAAAGTATTTTCTGCTGGACACAACTTAAAAGAACTGGTTTGTAGATGGATCATGAAATACTAATAGTAGAAGTCTTTTTAATGTAAGAATTTACATTCATTGTAGAGAAATGATTGGCTTGCATTGTTTAGACTGGTAACAATGAGAAACTTCACAAGGAAATCTTTGAAACATGCTCAGAGTTGATGCGAACAATTACTCAAAGTCCTGTTCCTATAATTGTTGCTGTAGATGGTATAGCAACTGCAGCTGGTTGTCAATTGGTTACTGCATGTGATATTGCTATTTGCACTGAACAAAGTTCATTTGCTACACCAGGGTATATACATTCTGTATACTAGATATAAATTTAAATATAAATACAAATTTACTTTTACGTATAAATGTGTTATACATATTCCTTAATGAATTCTTACAGTTTAACTAATACTTATTTACCACTAAATTTTAGAGCCAATCTTGGAATATTTTGTTCTACACCAGGTATTCCCTTAGTTCGAAATGTACCCAAGAAGATGGCAATGTACATGCTATTTACAGGTTTTAGCATTACTGGCAAAGAAGCATACGAAGCAGGACTTGTGAGTAAAGTTGTACAAAATGATAAATTTGGTAAGTTGAAATTTCATTTAACAGAATAATTAATTGAAATGCTACTAACTCTAGAATATTTTATCTTGTGTCCTATTTAGAAGAAGAAATTGAAAAGATTACTACATCTATAAATATGAAAAGCCGTTCTATTATTCATGTTGGAAAAACATTTTTGTATGAACAATTGGATCTTGATATGTCAACTGCATATTTCTTAGGAACTGAAAAGATGATTAATAGTTTAAAAATGAAAGATGCTCAAGAAGGAATCAAAAGTTTCATTGAAAAGCGAAAACCTATTTGGAGTCATGATTATGAGAAAAATTAATATGGATTGGTGTATATATATATATGAAATATCTAATATAAATTCCTAATAATGGAAAAATTTTTATTATTTTTGTAGAAAATGTTATAAATATGATTACTTCTATTGTATTTCTATATTAAACCATCTGACATAATAAAATTTATTATGTTCTTTGTTAGTTTTTCACAGTTAATTATTAAAATTATGTTATTGTAATTAACTTATCTTTCTCCCACCGAAGAATTGGTTCTCCTTGTTGGAACTATTCAAAAGTGTCGTTTTTATAGCGGTAAGATAAAGAACGAAACAAAAGGAATTTTTAACCTTACATGACAGTAAAATTCGCTTACAATGTATCATCGATTTATGTTCAAATTTAAAACAAATTTCATGCAAAAATTCATGTAAAAAATACGTGAATATAATTACTCAAATATATTTAAATAGATTTTTATATACTACAAAATATTTCTGCTTTCAAAATTGCACTAGAAATTTTGGGTGGATAAAAAACCAAATTTATTTTATTGAGATATGAATGAACCTTTTATGAAAGAGATTTGTTTTTAACATTTTACAAATTTATGTCAGAAAATGAAATATTTAATTTTCTTCCATTTTCGTTATCAATTGCATAAGTCTTCTTCCTTTTAAGATTAAAAGTTTACATAATAACAGTATAAATTATACAAAATAAATCTAGAAATTGTAAAGATTATAGTGGGATCTCTCTATTTCAGTAATACACATGTAGATTACATATCACAGAATAAAAGTGCGTACTTTAAATACGAGAGGTCTTTGTAAAGATAAGAAAGTCGTGGTGGTCGGCGGCGTCATCAATCTCGAAGAACGCTGATATCTCGACTACTCGTTACAAAAATGCTTTTTTCCCGTGTTCATTTCCCATTTTGTCTCTCGTTAAATCTGTCTCTCCCCACTTGTTTGCGAGGCACGTTCATAAATCGAAACCAATATTGTTATATGAAGTTAGTACGACGTCGGGTCCTAACAAAGTTAGAGCGTCGAATGTTTTGTTTGCAAAATAATAGAAAGTGCGTTCGTTTTCATTGTATATATATCTTTTCTTTTCTCTTCTTTTTACAAAAACTTTCTAATTAGTCGATGATTGTTTCGAGAAATTCTCGTCGAGGCTGTATGAAGTTTGAAACATTGAAACAAGGTCGAGAGTTTCTGCGGGTCAAGGAATTTCAACATTTCAAAATCAAGATCCGCGAAGAAAGTGCAACAACGAGAAGTGTTAAAAGGAGGTTAGCGGATTTGCTTTTCGAAATTTGCAAAGGTTCGTTTTTTTTATATACTTAGTATTATTTTTTAGTGGTGCTGCGATAATTATCCTCAGAAAAGATTAGTAACATCATTTCTGATTAAGAACTAAAAATAGTACTGAATATTATAAGTGGTTTTTTTGCATTCTTTCTTTTATTGTAGATTGCGAGAGAATGGCCGCTATTCCGCAGGGTGCATTTGCAGCGTGCAAAGTCCGCCGCAATTTAGAACGCAATGCTATGATAACACCACCAATAGAGGAGAGGGAAAAAGTGGGTAAAGAAAACACATACAATATGAGACCCCCTTCGGAAGGTACATATCAAATCCATGAAGTATCAATCATATATTATATTTTAGGTTGCTATGAAAATAACGAATTAAATAACGAATTTAGAATGTTATTAGAATAGTATTTTACGAGAAAGAATATTTTTGTCTTTTCATAGAATCACATTGCCATATATTGTGTTTTTATATACACATATTATATACATATATTAATTAATTTCGACGAAATATTTATAGGCCGAGAGCTTACACCGCTAAAATATAACAGCAAATTAATGAACAGCATCTGGGGGCTTTATAACCGTTATTCGGTACATAATTTCAAGAAAAACAATTCTAATGATGGGGTGTTTGGTAAGTTCGCGGCGATTTGGGAGACTATTTCTCACAGCCATGCATATGCCGCGAACTCGGTAATTACAACTGCAGTTACCAACAATAACTCTCAAATTATGCAAAAGAGATGAACAGTATCTGATGATTTGATGATCTGATATGTGTAATATCGATTGTTAATTCAACTGTAATAATTAAAGGAAATTTAAATACTATATATGACTTACGATTATAGAGAATTGCAACAGTATTGCATATTCTTTTTACAACTTTTTTAATTGTACGTAGATAAATAAAATATTTTTCCTGGCAACTATGGTGCAATTTATCAAATTTTAATTTGGTACATAATGGTAAAGATTTCTACATGTAATTTTAAAAAGACTGTTGTAATATTTTGTCTAACTGTTAAAATATAGTGATATATGATAAATACAAAGTAAATAAAATATAGATTTTTATAAAAAATAGAAATATATCTATATATAGATTTTGTATATTATTACTTAAATATTATATTGTTTTGTATTGTTATTTAATAAATTGCAACACAAACGCGTATGAAACTATATCCTAGTTACAATTAATGTAATGAAGATTTACATATAATTTTACTTATAATTTTGAAACATTAGAATTTAAACAAAGTATAATCCCATCAATAAAAATAAATAACTACGAATACTTCCCTTAATTAAAATGAACATTGTGATTAGAAAAACTATATGAAGAAAGGGTCAAATCGGAAGTATGTTCCACACAAACGACACTCTTCTCAAAATTATTCAACCAGTTATTTCGATTACATTCCTGTGTTGTTTGACGTATTATATAAGTTCTTGGTTTTCTACGTTCTGAAAATTCCTCGATGTTACTGGAATTATTAGAAATATTAATATCTAACTCCAAAGAAAGTAACGAAGACGATGACTCTGGTTCTGTAACAGGCAGTAGATTTTCGAACATGTTTTTTATAGATAAGTTATTTTTTATTTTTTTTATATTTTTTTCGATGGGAAAATTTTGTCCACCCGTGTTTTCACCATTCAATTGGGTAAAATTGTTTCTTTTCTTTCTACACGAACATTGTTCAGAACGATTTTTCTTCAAATTTGGATAATTCTTCGTATTATTGACTTCTCGATGTATCGTAAACGTACGCTCATTCGAATTTCTTATAATTCTTTTTTCAATCACAGCATTCTTTATTTTAGAAAAGCAAAGATTAGGTCGTTTAGAATAAAAATTAAAATTTTTGGACTTTCGTCCCAGTTTTGCTATTCTTGTTTGCGTACATTTTGTTGCAGATTGCTTGTTATTACCATTTGACAAAACTACTTTTGTATTTTCTGGACAATTTTTTAAAGTATGCGAATCTGAAAAAATATTCACATTGGATCCAGAGGAAAATATTGAGTTTTCAATTTGGAAATCTAATTCACAACTTATTTCGGAACAATGTGGAACAAGAGTTGTATTTTGTTTTGGAAATATTATTTTATTATATTGTTCATTTCCATGTTTTGTGAATAATGATCCGCGATAGTTTGTATTTTCAGTGTCCATAGATGCTGATGCACGTTTCGTTATATAGTGCCGATTTCCGATATTCTCGTTCGTTTGATTGCCTTGACTTTTCAAATATTTAATCCTAGCTGGTATTTGTAACATATTCTCTTTTTTTCGGGTACGAATGATGCAGTTTAAAAACGTAGGTAATGCAGGGTCCATATTCGTACAGGGATAATAAGACTGGTAACAAGATATATAGAATAAAATTGTAATTTTATAAAAAATAAAAATCATTTATACATAAAAACTACATTAATCTGCAAACTTTCAAGAAATAATCACTTTCGTAGTAATAGTGATGTACATATACATAACTAAACATGAATTCTCTTTACTTTTAACATTTAATAACAAAAACAAATAGCATAAACTAATTGGTAAATATTTCAATATACACATGTTGTAAATAATATACCTCTCGAATTTTATCACGTTTTTGTCTTTTCCTCAATGTGTATATGTTTGTTACTTTCTTCATATATCTTCTTAATTTATGTAAAATATTAATTTCGCTACTCCTATTTCGTTTGAAATCATTTGCATGTGGAAGATCCTTTTCGTTTCGCAAGTAAGTATTTCTTAATGCATTGATTTCAGCACGTAACTCATCCAAATTACTGGCAAGTATTTTCATTTGATCGATCATTTGACCCATTCTTCGTTGATCGCGATAACATGCCGCCATACTGATTATAACTAGCTCGGCTGTTTAAAGTACATATGTAATTTCTAAAGATCAATATAATCTTCATGTATATATCACGTATATCATTATCATGATTTACTGCAAAAATTTAAGGATCCTTAATGATGAAGAAGAAGATATATATAATAGAGTTTTTCCACCATAATTGAATATTAACATAAAGATATATTGAGTTGCATTTTTAAATGGGAACATCAGGTAGTATTGACGTTATCGTTATAAAATATAACCAAGACAGGAAACAAGAATTTGCTGACGCATACATACTGAATAAGAAAGAAAAATTGACTACCGGAAGGTTCAGACGTGCTGGAAAGCAATTAAAGGATTATGAGCTCATATTAAATATCGTTTATTTGATTCGTCGTATGAGTCCTAGATACTTACATTAAATGTCAGTCGGTGTCGTATATCATAGTGGATCGGTTATCGACGCGTGAAGTTTGGTTCAATACAAAATGAAAAAAAAAAGAGATGGTAGGGGGAAAGACAAAAAATGCTTCCACCTTCTCATATAAATCGACACGTAATACTATACTCGTATTTGATTTTATATGTACAATTGTTTGTTTTTTTTCTCCTATCTACAACATTGGCTTCTGTTTTAAAATAATTAATATTTTCTGAGGAACAGGACACGACCCTGGCTTTCCTGTATCCTATCCCTCAAAAGCATCTATATCATGACAGCTACCGCGTTAAGATGCAAATGTAACAAGAAAAAAAGGTAAAAATGATTAAAGTTTTCGCGCGTTACATGTACATCTAATTCCGTTTTCAACCGCAAAATGATCAAATTGGTGGATTCCTGTTCCGTAATTCGTTGTCCGTAAATTGTATCATATTTTTCCCTAAATTCGAGCTGTAAAATGGCATCGTCATCGTATTTCAATAAATTAACCGTACAAAAAGAACTGTTGCATTTTATGTGATTATCACAATATGATTCGTAGTGGTTTCACCCATTCTATACTTATACATACATACATATATATATATATGTATGTATGCATACTTTGTTTTTGTTTTGTTTTGCAAAGGCATGCACACGGACATTTCTGGAATGCTGTTGTCGATCGAATATTTTCATTTCGTATTTCGTTCACCCGTCAATTAAACGAATCGTAGGGTGAACCGTGTGTATTCTTTTGCTCTAGTAAGTTCCTAAAATCGAGGTAATCGGGTTGCGCGTTACGTCGTCCACGAATCTCATTTGAACAATACCTTGTTAGCGAGTCCCCGGACAAGAAGCAAAAACCGATGACTATTTAATTATAATTTTCATGTCTATGGTTTTCCTAAACGTTTTAGAAGTTCTAGTTTCCATTGTTATATTTACGAAAAGTTCTTAATCGATTGATGCAGACTGATAAATTAATAATAAACAGTTACAAGGTTTGCCGATTTTAAATAATATATCATTAGACTGCGGATGTTCATGCATAGAAAACTTAGATATGTACGTAAAAACGTGTAAAATATATATAATACGTAAAAATATACAAAATGTCCGATGTAAAGAACTCTTTATATAACACTTAGAATATTTAAGAGATACATTTAGAAGAAGTCTCTTTAGTTGTGTTCATAACATCCGCAGTCCATGAGGATGAATACATATTTCGATTTCGATTCTTCTCTTTGTTTTATAATACTGATAACCATTAATGAAAGAAAACGAAGTCGCTAACGAGTCCTAAAGGAATAACCGTGTCACTTCTTGCCGGAAGATGCATCTTACACAAGCTAACAATCGTTCCTCCAGCATTCGTCGTGCGCATCCAGCACATCGACGATTCTTTTAATACTTAACAACTAACATGTAATCTAACACGTCTAACGACGTTATAAATAACATAGAAGATGAAATATCAAGAGAGAAAGAAGAAGTAGAAGTGACTAATTGGATCTCTGGCTGTCGACTGATCGCTAATAGTAACAGACTAGTAAACCGTCTTCTTCCCTTACAATGGCTCTCGTCTGTTCATTTCTTGGTCCCTCTTCCTCTTCCGTTTTGTTTTTGTGGCACAGCCTTGTTCCTCCTGCTCCGTTCATCGATCACGTCCCTCCTTTCCGATCTTCTTTACGCGGACGAAAACGATCAACAATTTTTGTGCAACGACATTAACCAAAATTAAAGGAGGACACAGATCTGAAAAGGACGTGCGTTCTGATCCTGGAGGGGATCTCTCACCCGAATTCATCTCATCTATCACCCACTTAAAAATGTTGGGTAACGTCTTCCATCTCTTCGTCCTGAGCTCGTTTTCGTGTCCCGGTCATCGGCTTGTTTCAGAACGAAACTCTTCGAATACTTTCGGGCGTGGATGTGCACAGATGTCGTGTGCTTTCCATGGATTAGCTCAGTTTAATCGGCCGTAGTACGGTCTGTCAGGAATTCGGGGAGGAATATTGGGTACAGGACGCCTATAACACAGACAGTGATTAAGTACTCGGTGCTTCTCACCAAAGTGTTTGAGACGCGACGATTGATTATTACTTTAAACAAATAAAGCGGTGATGAACGTCGCGCGAACACGAAACATAATTTTGCCCTTCGAATGCGAAGATAATCGTATAATTTGTGAAAAATACTGTGCATTTCTTTTTAAATAAAATTTATTGAATTCTATAGTTTTCATATATTTTTAAATTGTATGTAAAATCAAAAATTTATTTGTATTGTAAGTGCTTGTCACATTTCATTTTTCTTGAAAAATCGAAGACATATTGTCTAACAAAATGATATTTTCTACTCTTTAAATATATTTTAATTCGCATTTGGAGAGACTGAGTAAAGCTATGCAATGACCAATTAAATTTACTTCACCTTAGAAATTATATACGTAACAAATCCAAGTGAATAAATCTAATTGGGCATTGCTGATATTTACTTTATTAAGCTATGATATGAGAATGAGAGTATTTTATATGAGATAGAATATATTTTCTGTTATAAAATTGGGGTTAAGAGAAGTAATAATAATTGTCGAATATATAACAGAGAGTAAAGTGCAACAGATATATCCTCTTCTCCAATATGAATGTATGTACTTGTAAATAATAACGACAAAAATACACTACGAATTTGTTCTGTAAAGCGCACAAAGAAAGAAAGTACTTATAATAATAAACGAATAAATGACGTCATTAAATACAACATGGGATGATGATCTGCAAAAAACAAAAAGGAAAAAAAAGAAAAAATCCAATTGCACATGCTCAAGCAGTAGCAAAAACGCATGCAGAAATGAATGTATAAAAAGGACGTTCATTCTACAATTTTTCGCAACCGTTTTTAAATTTACATACCTTTAGACATTTTCAATGAAATCTTAACTTTAATTGCATCTTTTCAAACGTCCTTTGGATACAGATAAATACAATTGAATTGATTCGTATGTAAAATACTTCACGAGGTAAGATCCTGGATGCTTTTATGGGAAAAAATATTAAAAAGGTGGCAGACATTGGACAGTGATTTGATTACAAAAGAAGAGAAAGAAAACAAAAAATAACGCAGAACGCGAATACGCATCTCAGCGTGCGGGAACAATCAGGACAATCTCGCACATACTCTATTAAAAATATTACTTGTTATTTGCACGCAACGGTATATGGAATTAAGCGAGAATCAGAGAAGAATTAATGGAACATGTAAAAAACGTGGTCAACACATTAAACACAAGTGTTACAACACGATAAGAATACTATCCAGCTGCAGTAATCGAACGTTAATCTCATTGGATACTAATTTCCCCAGCGGAAATGCGTTTCCGGTCATCAGATAATAACACACGCTTCTCTCCCAATTTTCATTTTTGCACATATATGAATATATCTATATGTACGTACGTATGTATATATGTAGATATACATTTTGAATTTATAACATGTTATTTTTTTCTATATATACAATTATATTGCAGTAAAACGGTGTATGGAAATATCACGCGACCATCGCGCGATATTACAATATGGTGAATCGTGTAAGGTGCACAATCCACATAGAATAATTTGCTAAGTAACCCCCCTTGTCAATGTTCTCCTTGTTTTGAATTTACGAAATATTTTTTACAACAAATGTTCGCGGATGAATATCGGTGATCGAGTTCAACGAACAATCGCTTTCTCTTGTAGTGAGATGTAGAAAAAGATCATTTCTATCAAAAATCAGGGGTATAACAGGTATAAAAATTATGAAAAATTTACTAATGTAATTAAAAACTAGCAGTAAGCTCTATTGACATCTTCAGAAACGTTGAATACTTGTTTTTAATTTTTCGAATCATTTTTATCAAGGATAGATCCATTGATAACACGTGGGTTACTTAGAGATCTGTTGTCTACGATTCGTTCCGACGTCCATCTAAATTTTAACCACGTGAAAATAACGTCGGCGACGAATCCAGCCACGAATAGTATTTCCATCGATTTTTATTAATTACATATTCGTCTTTATCGCTCATTTACCATCATTCATTTCCATCGTTCGCACGTTCTTGTTACGTGAGATTGTATACGTTTACGCTTGGCCCGCGATATACAATAGAATCACGCTTATTACTCGATGATCCGTCTTACGCAAAGTAACCTTTTTAACTAGAATTTCTCTGCATTTAAGGCTTTTCGATGGAAGCATGTAACAATATAATCTGTCGCGTGAATAGGATGCGTGTTGCAGTCATGAAATCTCATTCATCGATCTGCTCTCTTCTGTTTTTCCTGCGCGATTTATTCTCTTCTCTTCCTCTCTCTGGAACGTGGGACGATCTGAACGTACTTATGTCAGCACAGGATGGTATTAAACAATCGAAATATACACGGTAAAGAAATAGTATTTTTAATTCAGATAAATGAATACTATACGTTTGAACCGAGCATTATATAATTATTAGGTTACAAAATTTGCACCTGATTTTGAAAAGTATTCAATTAATTTTATCGTAGATACGTTCAGGATCGCCTTTCGATTGGACGATTAAATGCTAAAGTGCGGCAACAATATTTGTATTTTATGTTCACAAAGGAGCTTATGATTTCTTTGCTTTTTTTGCATCCATAATCGGTCTCTAAATAGAGTAATCGCTAAACACGGTTAACGCTATTTTCATTGGATCTAGTCACAAAAGCCGAGCTTATTTTCAAAGATCTCATTTTAGGCCCAATACCCAAAAAATGTATTTATCATAGATCGTACAACATGAAGTAAAAGTTAAAATGTACGGAGATTTCTCCTTTTTTCTTCTTTGGAAACAAAGCAATCGATTAATTGTTAATTGACGGTACGAACGTAAAGACGCATCAAGTAGGAAACCGTGAAGATTCTTTCCTTCACGATTCGCTGATGGCAACTTCACTTGTCGTTTTTCGTTGTAATACTTGAAATAAAGATTCCACCCAATCGGGTATTGCCATTAGTAATCAAAATTTGTACGAATCACAAATTAAATGTCAATGTAAAAATCTTTTTCATCTAATTTTCACAAATAGTTTCAACGTACACGTATATTGGTACCAAAGGCCAAAAACGCATATTCGACGAACTAGACAAAAATTTTTGTAGTTGTAAAGGTACAAGAAGTGATGTAAAAAACTTGAAATATAATCTCGAAGGGTGGAACCGCAGAATACTGTTGATGAACATATAAGAACCTGCACGTACTGAAGAACAATTTTTCTTTGCACGTTTCTACTACTTGATATACCCAGTGTTATTGAAATGCAACGCCACGCACTTACGAGGCTTGTACATCTACTTGTATCTCTATCATCTTTTTAATACTCATAAGACTTGTGTCTAAAGGAACCATGCTATAGTACGTAACTTTACGAAAATAAAAATTCACGATCTATCGAGCAAGAAATCTGACACGCTACTGAAACGAATAACGTTATCTTTCTTATCCTGTACAATATACAATATAATGATATCGTTAATAATAACAATAATTATAATAATTATAATTATAATTGTATTCACAATTTGTGAATCGTAATCACAATCACTTCGGTAGTTTCAATGTATGATCTACTTAATTCTGGAATTACGGTGCATAAAATGATCAATAGACATATGTATATATGTATATGTATGTATATATATATATATATAAAACAACGTAATATATATATACACACACACACATATATATATCTGTACAATAACATTACAATAATACCACTTGTGATTGTTCGCTTTTCCGAGTTTCCTGTTCTTTTTGTGTATGTCTGTGTCTATCTTCCCGTAATTCTTTTCATTTCCTTGATAGAGAACAACGTACACGGTACAATTCAATCTATTAGTACTCAGCGAATAATCTAAATTACGGATTAAAGGTTGTGTCCAGTATCAACAGGCGTTAGATAATTCGAATAATTGCGAATGCGATGTGCTTTCACTCAGACTGTAAGTTTGATCCTCATCTAATCTTGTTTTCCAAAAGCCATTTTCTTTAACGCAAAATATCAATTTATATGTGTAAACATTATCTTTGGAAAAGAGAAGGTGGCGGCTCTTACGTAAATTTGACGTAAATAAATACATCTCTATATGTATGGTGGAACGACATCAATGAATATTATTAGGCCCTTTTAACACTGAAACGAACGAATTAACAATGGATTTCACTCAATTTAGAATTGTACATCATCGAGATTGCCTCTTCTTTGATTCGATCGATCAGAACAAACACGAAAGATATAGTGACGCGGCAAATGCGAATCATTGTCCTCAACGCTCTTTCATAGTTACTATTTGCCCAAGATAAACCTTCGATATTTTGCTCTAATGGAAAGTAATACATATTCTCTTTTCTTCTTCCCTTCCTTTGTTTTTCTTTTTTCATAGTGGCACTTCGATCATTGTCCTCGATACTTCACGCGTCACTGGTAACAGACTTAATCCTTCTCTTTGCATGGTATCGTTCTTGCAATGACGAATAATTTGCTCATAAAAAAATGTTTATACATACATGTATGCAATATGTAAAAGTCACGTTGAAGTGGGACAAAGTTTACTCTAAATCGAGTAATTATAACGCAAAATGTGATAGCGTTGTCGGTAAATGCGTCGAGACTTTTTAACAATTAATTACGATAATATTGATAACGAAACTTCTATTATTTATAACAAGTAAAAAAGTAAAAGATAAATTCGTGAAAATAATGTATGAGATACATATGCCATTTTTGTAAAAAGCTAATATAATTTTTAATTTAAACATTTCTCTAGTAAACGATTCTGCAGCTATTTAAGAGTTAAGTATCATCAAATGTTTCATCTGTTTACCAATAAGTTTCCTTTTTGTATAATCTTATTCAAAAGTTTATACATAAATATTCCGAATATAGTACAGAGAGGAGCATTCTTGATCATCAAACATGTGTACTACATAAATCTGAAAGCACATCGCGCCCCGTGGATTTAATTACAAGAATGTAGTAGAATACATCATATTCCCTTTCCTTATATATGTACATGTATAATTGATTTAATTTGCTAAACACGGTCGAGGAGCATAAGAAACAACAAATACCTTTTCCAAATATAACGCAGCTCCTGAACGCATGCTGAGTGATATACATTCATTATACATTATAACGACATACGATTAGTATTGTATTGTATATATATAATATATATTTATTATTCTCATTCGGTATCGTTATTATTAATCTTCTTTTATTAAGACTATTCAGAGGGAGGGAGAGAGTTCGCGACTCAGGATTTTCATGCAAAATCCTTGAAGCACTCTATGCTATATCACATCCTATGTCTGAGCACATTTTTTTTTCATTAATACTTCATTAGGGATTAGCTATGTATGTATATATGTATAACTCTATATGACAGTTTTAATATTAATGGCTAAGAATGGAATAAAGTTTGGTGACATCTAAAGAGGTAGAGAAACAGTGTGTAATGTGTATCTGTGTGTGTATATATGTGACTGCGTTTGAGTCACGCAATTAATAATTACAGATACTAAAACTTATTTGTAACGCAGTTGTCGCCGATTAGAAATCGATCGAACAGATGCAATAAAACGAACATTCAATAATAATTGTCGACAACTTTTGCCCAACAGCATGACATTTTTTATTTTATTTTATGAAAATTCAGGGAATGAATTTTGACATCGCAATCGGAATCGGACTTTCGCCTAATCGAAACTATCTTTGATCACATCGTAGGGTTCTGGTAGACTTTCCAGGATATAGAGTCACTGGAGATATAAATATATCGGTCTAGAAAATTGAACTCCTTTCTTTAAATATCTCTAAGCAAGAAGATATGTATGTACAAGTATTCAATACTTGATATCAGCATCCAAAGCGAAACAGCAATAAATTATATATTATATCAGGTCTTACAGCTTTTTATGCTTTCTGGGATTACACAATACACGTCATCATTCTACAGTTCATGAAAGAATATTTATTTCCTTTTAACAATAAACTACTTTACGAAGTAAGAACATACATATGGAATGTAACGAAGCGAATTACATGTCTTACAAATATACAGAGGTATTCCCTTACACACGTATATTTTTTTCTATAGCGTGTGCACAGGGATGTTCACACTCTTTTCTTTCAATATGTATATATAATGTCTATATCTCGCACACGTATGTATGTCGAATAACGATATATAACGTTGAAGGCAACATCATCGCTATTAATCCAATTTTTCGGATCATGCAAGAGAGAGAGAGAGAGAGAGAGAGAGAGAGAGAGAGAGAAAGAGCGAGAGAGATAAAAAAAACATAGCTGGTTATAATTCGCAAAAATTGGTTATCGAAACACACTATCGGAAAACAGTGAGACATCAAATTAGTGTTCATTCTCAACCCTGAACAGTCTACCAATCTAACGCAACTTAAATAAGATTGCCCATAATAATTCATTATCGTGGTTAAAAGAGCAAGATATCTCGCATATAAAAAAAGAGTTATGAGGCAGCAAGAGTATTTACTTGATCTTGAATGCTTCCATCAGCTCGTTCACGGCGGCATTAGCAGCGGCCTGCGTCGCAGCTTGCGTCACCCTCTGCTGAAGACCACCCCCACGACTAAACATACACCACGGACACTAAGCTTTTACTACAAATCTTATTTGTTTTCAATGCCTTATCAATAGTATGCTACTATATAAAGAGAGAATTCGACTAATATATGGTAATTTAAATTAATATCTGCATGATGCACTACATTTTAGACTGATATCGTGCATCCTCGAATGTCCTAAGAAGTATGTGTAATCTCTCGCGTGGTTCTACTAAGCGACAGACGCGGGAATTCGATAACGAGTAGTAGAGCGTTGACGATCAACTGCTTGATATTCGTTCAATAGAAAGAATGTTTTCAATGCAGGCACCGACACATTCATCCCCCATAATGACAAAATAGTTGACAATATTAAAATCAATTTTTCTCGCTTTTTCTGTGATTTTACCAATTGAATCAACGATGGCAAGAAAGCAGTAATATTAAGAGAGTTTCAGAAGCTGCCAAATGCAAATGCAACACGTTATGGCAAAACTTATTCCGTATATATTCATGTATCACATTCTCTCATACAGGTTTTTACATCGATTGAAATATCGCTCTGCGAATCGATTGAAAATGTATTTCATTTACGCGACAATTAAAATGTCATGCTGTTAGTAAAGCGAATGAATACTTATCCACCACCTGTGATAAGAACTCAAGATCATTTATTTTACAACGTTCTTAGTTGTATATACAGATATAATTTACAATTTCATTCAACTAATTTACAATGAAACAAATGTCATTCTACCTCATTTTTCTTTGTTCGTCGCGAATGAATCGTGATCTATTTATACATACTTTTTGTCATTAGTACCGATTAAATATATCGTAGACACTTAGATTATTAATTAGAGGTGTGCAATTTTGTAACATTACATCGGGATTGTATAAATTTGTTTAGGATGATTACAAAAAGCGAGCAGCATATTTATATAATATTTGTTAAATAATATGAAAACGACGAAACAATACGGATGATAATACCTCGCTCGTTCTTACGAAGTAATTGGACCATGAAATAATTTGATATATTACTGATATAATGCGTAATACGTATAAGATAAATCGTCCGTCAAAGTTCTTGGAAGCTCTTTTTAATCTCTAACTAATACAAATATTCACAAGTTTATTAATTTTTATACAACTTACACACCCCTAATTAACAATAATAATTCATAATACTTGCAGACAAAACATATAGCATTAGGAAATTGTATCTCGTGTAAAATATACACTGACTAGATGCAATTGATATATGTATATATGTATATTAATTAGTAGTGAATAGGCGAGTTAGTGCGATGACTTATTGTCGGCGCCTGCAATAGAAAGTGAAGTTAGCACCAAAGCCCCAATTAGACAAAGCTATGGAGGACAAGCAACTGCAAATTTCTCTTTAAAACATTTCGTGACGTTTAAGAAAAAAAAGGACCTCTACTTTGTAATTAAGACACAAGACTACCTCAACACAAACTAACAGAACATTGTGCAAAATTTGTGAGAAACTCGACAATCGAAAGATACTCGATAGTACAGAGTGTCCCAAACGTTTTGTCCCTTTAAATTCTCTGTACTACTTCACAAGGTACAATTCCGTTAAATTGGATGAAAATTATATTAAATTCTTAGTACTTACGATGGTATAAGAGGAGGAGGTAGGCCAGGTGTGGCACGGGCTGGCGGAGGTCCACCAGGTCCAGGTCGGTTAGGAATAGCCGGTGCTGGTCGACCACCAGACGGAACCGGAGGTGGGGCTCGAGAACTAGAAAGAGGTGGTGGCTGTGTCACTCCGCGTCTTGGCCCACCAGGAGATGGTGGTGATAACCTGTAACACATAAAATGAACAATAGCTGTTATATTTATTGCTCCTATGTAGAAAGCGAAAGATAAAAATAAGAGAACAGGAAATATTCATGGTGTGTAGGGCATTAAAAAAAAGTTATATAGCCTCTTTTCTGTATGGTTTGTTAACTTATCACAGTTGAAATTTGCAATCAAGAGACGAATGAAATATAAATTTTCACTGATTTATTAAAGACTTTTCTGTACATTGAACAGCTTATTTTCCATAAAGGCTGTATATTTATTATACTGTCATAATTGAGATTAGAACACACAATCTTTTCTTATTTATAATCTACACTGTACTACAATTTAATATTAAAAACATTTTTAAATGCTTTCACTCTAACAGGTATTCAAATATATGTAATTTATGTGCAAATAAAAATATCATAGGAGATTCTTTCTAATTTTATGCAAAACATAAGAAACGTATAAACGATAAAATAATTTTTCAAAGTAAATATCGGTGGACCTACATACTTGAAATAAAACTACAAAGCAGAGAAATAAGTGTACATTTGAAAAAAGAGAACAGATTTTAGTTAGTATAATAAATGTACATAGTAGCTCTTACCCAAGACTGTTTCAATGGTGTTCAAGTGTATGAGGCAAAAGCAGGCAGTACAAGATTGAAAGATAATAAATTAGTTAAATGCATAAGCGACAATGAAAATAATAACATAATTGTTACCTTGGATTTTCCCCAGATGCTAGCCAATCATTTTTCACAGGTGGTGGTACTGGAGTAGATACTGTCGCCATCGAAACATCTCCAATAATACGAAGTGCCTCCTTACATGCATGATACATGCGTAGCATTTCCTCTCGTTTTTGTGCTTCTTCGGGTGATTCTTCCATCATTGAAGCCTGTAATTCACGTCCACATACTTTTTTCTAAATTTGAAGTATACAATAAATTTGGCAGAAAAGACTAGAATACTGTAAGTATTTAGTGTATGTAAAGATTTTACAAAAAATTGTTGTTAATGGAAAAAAATAAAAAGTATTCCTTGAAATATTATTTCATTAGGAAATAAACAGTAAAATTTTAAATAATAAGCTTAGGAGAACATTGGAAATTTATTTGTGGATATAAAATTACAATATACTAAATTCATATGTATTTTACCTGATCACCACTTGCATATAGATGTGCCAGTAACTCTCCATTAATGAAATCCTTTGCATTGTTTATAATCAAATGCATAATTGTCTTTGGAACCAAATCACGAGTTGTTTTTGTGACAATTTTCATGTACGAATCCACCAGATTTCTAATGGTCTCCACTTGACGTTCAAGTTGAGGATCCATTGATGATTGAGCTTCCGATCCACCCTATAAATATGGAAATAATAAATTTCCTGCATTCTTTGTTGAAATGATGAAGTTAAAAGCAATACTTCAGATAACGTTACATACATAGTTAACATAAATAAAAACAAAAAATAATACATCATTTCAATAATTAATAAAGTGTTATTGATCTTGTGCTCAAATGGAAACTTTGCTTGCAGGGAAACATAAAGTATTTTTGCAAACAATTCATACATGTTTTAATCGTATTCACTATCAGCAAAAAAGCAAAGCTAAGTGTAGTGGTATTTCATATCCATGTAAGTGTTGTAAGTATCCATGTAAGTATCCAGTTGTGTGTTCTGTATAACTACAAAATTTCTACATTGTACGAACCTCATATCCTTCCTTTAGTTAATTAGAAGCAAAAAATGTAATAACTATTGTGAATGTAATATTGGAATCTAATTAATTTCTGAATAATATAAAACATATGCAAATTGCGCAATTCATACTTGTATTAAAAAGAAACGCTATTAAATTAAATATATTTTCAAAAGATGCAAAGAATCAATTTCTCTCAATATAATTATTGTATTTAATATAAAATGAAAGTTTATGAACATTGCGATGTTAAAATAGAACTTTAGTCATAAAATCTAATAAATAATTGAAATATTTTTAGAATGTGATATTTAACAATAGTCTTAAGAATAATTTACTATAATAATTTAAAATATTTCCAAACTAATGCATCACATCACCACACAGTTAAAAATATAAAATTCAAACAAAATATTTTAATTACATTTCTCGTACTAACTCACCCGCTGTATATCCTAAAATAAACCAAAATAATCTTTTCTAATAAACATAACAGAATATATTCCAATATAATAATAAATAATTCTTCCTTTAATCAAAACAAATAATTAAATAACTAATTTATAAATAAGAATTACATAATATATCAATATACTTTTATCGAAGTTGCGTTACAATCGGTGCGCACGAGTGACATACGTCATTTTTGCAATTGCGTTTCAGCAATATATATAAATTTATATAAATAAATTTACACGTGATACAATTTGTCATCTTGTTTGTATCTAAAAAAATAAACGCGAGTAGTGATTAGACGAATGGCACTCGAGTGTCCCAGGCCTAAATATGTTATATTTTCCACCATACAATATACTTAATTGTGTACATATATGAAAGAATATAAACAGCATAATTATATAATAAGAAACATACCTCTCCTTCACCATTTGCTTGCTCTGTTGATTTTTCGGGATATACACCAGCCCTGAGGAAAGAAGCTTTCCATGAATCAACATCATCTTGAGTTTCACAGCTCAGTTCAAGCTGTTTGTAATCCTTATAAACATTTCTGCCTTCTGGATTAAATAAAGCAAACAAATGACGTCGGGACATGAACCCTTGTTCCAAGTCACGCAATTTCAATCCATCTAAAGGTAGCATATACTTCTTCTCACGTTCCTAAGCAAGGAAATAATACATAAAACTTACATAATTAACGTGTTATTAACTACATTATAGCAAAAAAATACCTACTTCTTCATCTTTGAACCAAGAAATACTCTCTGACGTTAGGACAAACCAATAATCTCTTGAACCACCTTTCATTATACCGAGATTGTGGATACACATGTATCCTTTGCGTATTACTTGATTTCCTAATGTATGACGACCAGATTTAACAGCATTTTCTGAGGACTGTTGAGCACTGTAACATAACGTATAATTTATAATGAAATGTTAATAAAAAAAATACGTTTGAGTACCCACGTACAAAATTCATTGTAATAAATTGCCACAAAAATTTGTTAGTTTACTGTGTAAAAAATCTAGCAGAATAAGACCTAGCAATAATTTTTGTATTAACGTACACAAACGTTCATATTCAAATTTAATCTTACATCGTAAAATATAAGTAATATATTAAATATAAGTAATTAATTTAATTTCTCAAAATATCTGTGTTTATAATACAAAATATTGAAAATGAGACATGATCACAAAATGACAATATAGAGAGGATAATTACATGGCTTCTATATCTTTGATTTATAACTAATTAATAATGAAATCTTTATGTGTTAAACAAAAATTTACCTTTTACATTGTTTTTAGTTACATATAAGAATTATAACAACAGCCACAACAACTCCATGCACATACTCTTTCATACAGCTTTAAATGTTGCAGTTGAATATTTTTGAATATGCAGTCAAACATTATTTGTAACATATAAATACACACAATATTATTTCTACTTAATTAACATTGTAATATCTTTGCAGATCATAACACATGAAAAATTGCAGAAGCAAATATTACATATATTGTGAAATCATGTGAAAAATGATGGAACTAAAATCTAATGCTGCTGTATGAAATATACGATTTGGAGTATTCATGAATGACTGTGGCAATGAATAATCTATTTAACTATATAGTTGAATTGTGCAACTATGTACAAAATATTCAGATCAAATTCTTAAAATTGTGATAGATTATGGCTGTATTCTACAATATATAAAACTAGATAAAAAAATATAGCCAATGAAAACTTAATAATAGCTTACTCATAATGGCATACAATGTTTCATGATGGTTAAGTTTATTTCTTTGTTTTCACAAACCACTCCCATTTTTTGTATATGAATAATTAAAAATGATATTTCAAGTGCTATTCTTATGATCTATAAAGTGTATACATGTACATATATGTATGAATAGTATTAACCTTTTATGATGTTATACACTAAACTAGTAATGAAATACTGAATAATAAAAACACATAAAATTTTATTTCATTCAAAAGAAAAAGACTTTAAAGTACACTAGAAAAATATAGTTTTCAATCTTTTGCTATATGGGAAATGAGTTCAATATTGCTTTTTAAGGATTCCGTTCTTTGTTATAAAACTGAAAGCTAGAAAAAGTTAAATAAAAAATAAGCATAACAAATTAAGAGCGTGATAATAGAAAAGGAAGAAAAATGTAGTGTAAATTTTTGTTCCAATGTACTTTATAATTCTTACCTTGCATTATGGCTACTGGCTGCCGCGCTGCCGATATAATTAAATAATTTTTTTAATTGTGAAATATAAAGTATTAATGAATGGAAAGAAATGTCACGAAATGTGTATATGCCATGTAGTTCAAGGAAAGACATACGTTTGTTAATGCAATAAGTATAAAAAAGGTGAAAAATATGTATACCAGTTGATATTCATAGATAATTTTTTATATTAAGTATGCCTTGCCTTTTAATGACATAAAAAATTGTACAGTAATTACAGTATTCTTATTCCCTAATTCAATTATTGCAAACTATATAATATAAAGGAAACCTATTATGTAAATTTTTCTATAATTTACATAATATGATTTAAAAAGTTAAAAACGGAAATAGAATGTTATTATTGAATATGAAACAAAAATTGAACTGAAATTGCTAATCATTTTAATATTTCTAATATTTTTTCTTTTTTAAACCCGTTTCTCGCGATATATTTGAGAACTACAATCTTTAAGATGTTAAAGTGTCAAATAAGCAAAATATAAAAATGAATAAAATTCATGTTTGCTATACGGAAAGAGAGAATTAAAATATTAAAAGTATGCGTATTGCAAAGAGAAAAAATGTAAGTGAGATATAATTTAATATGACAATATATATGACACAATGGGTCATATAGATGTACATGAAATAGAGAAAATAACAATAAATTCTACTATTTATTAATGATACTAAAAATGTGTGCCTTAGCTTTAAAGAACAAAGTAAACTAAGAATCGCTATTTTAAAGCTTGCAATGTGAACTGATTTTGGCATAGCATGCATTGATTATAAAATATACCGTATAAGTTTGATTGTGAAAGTCATATGAATATAGTCGAATGTATATTAAATATCTTATGCTAAATATGTTTCGAAACGTAACTTATTTTGAGTCATATTAGTTCAGGAACACACGGTATAAAATATATGTATTATATACATTGATATGTATTTTATATAGAATAAAATACAAATCAATATATATAATTCCTAATTTGCAAAAAAAAGGTTGCAAGCAAACTAATATAACTAACAGTATATGTAATTGGTGAATTTTCTTATCATCTTTTCCTTTATTTCATAAAAAGCTTAAGTTATAACCATAATGAAACTAATGAAACTAGTTTTTACAAGTATTATATTAGTAAAGCACATTGTCATTATGTGAATTATATTATGTGTTGAATTTACATTAGTCATGCAAGATAGATAGAATTCATTACTGCAAATTCGAGTTTCTCAAAAGTATTAATTAAGCATGTACAGTAATCAGAAATAAAACATATTATTATGTGATTCATTGTTAAAGATATAAAGAAATGTTCAAGACATACACTTAATGATTTCATAGGGTTTGTAAGATTTATAAAAAGAACTTAAATTTGTCTATCATCTTTATCATGAATTGATGATTCAAGCACTTTATGGTGTATAGGTAAAAAAAAATTCATATATCAAAAATCTACATGATATAAAATGCATGATGCAAAATTTATTCAATATTAAAAATATAGATTATTATTATTATCATCATTATAAAGAAAGAGGAATTAGCAAAAATTATATTTATTCAAAGATAATATTTAATATTTGTTATGAAAATATTTGTATGTCTTTAATAATAAAAAACATAATTTATGTTATATTTCTAATTGGTAATACTGTACAAGTTTAGAAAATTATTTTATTATGTTACGTTAAAATGTTCTATATAAACATGAATAATTTAATAGTAATAAAAATATTTATTATTATATTTATATTAAAATATTTATTTAGGAAATATTTTTAATATTTTGAAGATTTATTATTTAAGCATAGTGTAGTGAATTTTGTAGATATGTATAAGTACACTAAAATCTATAACTGCAGTTATGAATATAATAATAAGAGCAACATATAGCGCTAGATGTGCGATTATCAAAAATTAAATTCTTCTATCATATTATTTACTCTTTTGATTTGGCTGAGTAGCTACAAAAACACATAACAAAATGTAGGTAACTTACTTGGCAAAACCAATAAAATCTTCATGATTTGTGTTCATATATGCAAGTTCACAATCAACCAAAAGTATTAACTGTTCCTTGCACAATTGTTCTCGTTGTCTAACATAAGTGGTTATAATACGTTCCGTTTCTTCTCGCAGTCTAGGATAACGTGACATCTACCATATAAAATAAAAATTATATTAAAAATATGTTATCGAAAGAGAACAGACCTTACAAATTTAATAAACTGTACCTACCCTGTCAGTACAAATGCGTACAACATTACTGAGTTCTTGTACAACTAAATCCACGCACTTCAGACTAGGTTCTTTGAGTCTATTTATTTGTTTTTTGACTATTGCCTCAAAGGCCATATCAGGAGTAAACAAACCTACCCTGATACCTATGACATTATACTATTGTTAATAATTTATTTTTGAAGTCACTTACTTATCTCAATATATACATGTAATGAAATTACAGTGATAAACTATTAAAACTGAAATAGTCATTTACCATGAATATTCCTAATAGCAAAAGCAATTTCTCTTCTCAGTTCTTTTTCATCAAATTCCATTTTAACTATTTCAAATGGAAAACGTTCATGGAATAATCTGTTTATTTTAGCACCTCCACTGAGCTCATTTGTATTGATTTGTGCAGATCCTGAACCTTCTATAGTTCTTTCAAAATCTGACTGAAGCTGTTGTATCATCCTTAAAAATGTTTTTCTTTCAATCAATATAAAAACAAGCACTAAACCTCAACATTAGTTGTATGGGCAGAGAGTCATGATATTTAGTATTGCAAAGCCAAATAAATTCTACATAATTTATTAATACATCAGAATGTTTAATTTTAATGAAAATTTGTTGTTATTTTTCACTTTCTAGTTGGTTATACAAAGATGTATTAAAATTTTCATGCAAATGATACACACGGATGAAAAAAAAGTGTGATACCTACAGAAACATTTGAATTGATCTGAAAAATAAGAATAAAGGCTCTAAAATATCAACACCCTCCACCCATAATGCATTTTAAGGAAAGGAAAAGAGTTTATATAAGTAATACTTATGAATCTATTATAGAATAATATGTTTTATACATTATTTGTTATATATGTATCATTATTTTTTCATTAAGTTTATTTTATTTTCTAATATAATAAAAGTTACCAAAATTAAAGAAATTATAAATTCGCATATAATAGCCTGTATGAAGGAAGAAATACTTACTGTAACATAGCTTTAGTTTTTATGGCAGGATCATCAGGTCTGAAATGTTTGTACTGTTCCACATCCTTTTCTAGAGCAAGCAATTGTTTTTGTAATCTGTCTCTTAATGCTGGTAAAGTATCCCTAATATGATTTGTTAATTGTTGATTTAAAACGCGTTGCAAATATGGTGTCCCTAACCTATCTGCCAAGTGTCGATAAGATGGGTGGCTAAATGTGTACAAAAAGAAATATTTTAGACATTCTGTTAAAAAATTGATTCATGGAATTATTCTTTATGATTGATCTATACCTCAAGAAAAATTTCCTCTCTGCTGCTAGAGCATTTTTTATATCTTTTCGACCTTCTATGTCTTTTTGACTTCTGTTAACGACACCTATATAACCACGTCTTAGGGGTAATAATTTATTTTCCAAAATATCTCTTGCATCAGTACCATCATCCATAAGATCTAATTTTGTAATAACGCCAATTGTACGAACACCTTAAACAATTTACAATGTAAATAATTCTCTGTATGTATTTGTTAACATTTATATTATATATATATATATAATACATAATAATATATCTGTTAAGTTTAAAATATTTAAAAACATGTACCTTGAGGATCTACTTCTTTAGCAAGTTTAAGGGCATCACTATTTGCCAAATCAGTATTTGCTGGTGTTACTGCCAATATGAGACAATTTTCTCTTTTGATAAACTGAAAGATCATAGCTTTAATTTGAGACTCTATATCTACTGGTTGATCTCCAATTGGTACTTTCGTGAGGCCAGGCAAATCAATCAATGTCAAATTTAGAACTAATAATAATAATAAATATATTAATGAAATTATTAACATAAATCAACATATAATAAAAGACTGTATTTACCATTAGGTGAATATACTCTTAAATTTATTGGTATATTAGAAATACCCTTGTTACTGCCTGTAACTCTGTCTGTTTCTGCTTCGATTTCCTTCCGTACTTCATCAAAATCCACAAATTTTTTACCTTTACAATGCAAGAATTCAGCATTTTCTACAACAGAGAAATAATTTACTTGCTAATATGTAAAGTTTTCTAAGTAATATCTTACTGAAACAGTTTTCATTGCTTCACTTCATACTGAAAGTGATAATATTCTTGATTTCCTGCTTATCAAAAGCTCATTGTTACAGGAAATATGATAATTTTACGGACAACAATTACAGATAAATAGTACTAAATTTTATAAGAAATACCAAGCCATTAAAACTTGTATTAATTTTGTATTTAGTATATCTCAAAAGAAAATAATGAACAATGTATAAACAATTTAAAATATATAATAAAATAAACTATTATTATATAATTTGACATAGTGTAATTTAAAGGTTTTATGTAATATTAAAACTCTTAAAAACAATTATAACTTATAATGTATGTCAAACTTTCTTTTTCATTCATAATATAACAAATTTTATAATCTATTTATCTATGATGACTCACCAGTTGTACTATTAATCAGTTGCAAGATAAGTGGTCGTCTGGTTACAATACCAGATCCTCTAGGTAAGAAGTCCCTGAAAACAAAAAAATATTGTTCTTATCTAATAATTACTATAATAATAATATTGTAATTATCTTATAAAATTAGGGATATACTAGGATATGTCAAAGTATATATATAATATATTTAAATATAATAATATTCACTTTTTAAAGATTAAAACTTGAAAGATAAAAGAAAAATGTTAGAAATTAACATATCTTATAACTATTATACCTTTATATTTAGCAACATTTATGTTTTTTCTTAATTGAATAAGTTAAATGTGGTTACTGATACCATTCTAATAATGATTCTTTCAAAGCAGAATTATGCATAAGATACTTATGAAATTGATGCACTAAACAAATTTGCTAACATTTTTATCACATTAATATACATATTCATAGCTCCCGGAGAAAGCTAAGTTAATAAAATATAGCTAATAAATTAATAATTTTCCTAGTTACACATGTATACTTTGAGTAATTTATCAGAAGGTTAAATATTATAGCAACGGGGAAAATAACCATTTGACAGGTCGCTGTGTAGGCGGCCTCAAATCATAAAGATATAGTTAATTTTGATGTCACGATCGATAGATTAAAATAGTTAACCTAAAGGGGCATAGAAAAGAGGAATAGTCGAATTTATATAACTAATGATAAATATTAGAATTAAAATGTGACGTAGTTCGCCACGCCTTTTAAACCAAACTTTCGATTATTCTTCTAATTCTTAAAACATATCAGAAAGTATTACACGCTGAAAGAAATGAAAAACGCTAAAATGACAGGACATGAGATACTTACTTTCCAACAAAATTTTCAAGAACTGAACTTTTTCCTGCACTTTGACCACCTACCACTGCGATCTGTGGTAGATCAAGTTGCATATGCACCCCGAGTTGAGTGAATGCATCCTGGAGCTTGTTCACGATTGGGATTAATTGTTCCATACCCGTATTTCCTGCCATTTTGTTGAGGCTATTTTCTTACTAGCCCAAGACCACTATCGTTTTCAGTTTTACGGCTGTGTCCTGTGGTCGACACCGAGCTGCCACCACTTCCACGCACAACCGTCGAAGGTAGCTGCCAGAAACGATCTTATCCGTTTTCGTGAAACACGCACTATCAAAATGGCCGATTTCACGAAGGCACGTTGTTATACATCGAATTTCACCGCATTTTTCCAAAACTCGCGATCGCGCACGGACAACGAACTAGAGATGTCAGCCAACTGGCCTACTGTGAGGAACTCATTCCACGAACATCCACAGTCACTGTATTCACATAAATGAGATCCAACGTACGAACTCAAGAAACGTAACGTTTCAATCGATAATCGAAGCGTGCGCACAGGCGTTTTCGTTGTGACCCACTTTTCGTTGCAAGATAAAATCCATATCGTCCTCCTGCTGCTGACCTTTTTCCACGTCCCACACTGATTTGCTATCGAAGGAACCTGAAATTATACCTTTTGTCCTTTTCTGATCCAGTCATGATAAATTATCATTTTCTTCCTGAATCTAGCTATTCATTTAAAATATTGCGCGGTAAATACTTTTATTGGCGAGGAACATTTATAACCATTAAGAAAATAGACGGTGGCCAATAGGAATACTAGATTCTATTACATATATTGCAAAATCGATAATCAAATATTTAATCCATAAATATTCATTTCAAAAGGTCCAATAATTATATACAGTTATATGTAATATTAAAACTTTTTAATAGATTGTGTCATATTATCATTGTAATTATTAATTGAAGGCAATAATATATATCATAATTATTAATTTCTGATTATTAGCATTGCGCTGATGCATTGGCTAATTATTTTATGTAATTGTATAAAAAACATTTAAACAAAATCCATTTTTTATTCTGTTAAAATGTATACTTTCAATATTACTGATTATAGTTATTTTTCTGCAAATGTAATTTCATCAAATGTTTCATGACTAATACAATGTTCAGATAGTATATAATTTTGGAAAACATTAGAATGATATAAATTTAAATTTTTTACTGAGTAGTTTTGAGTTTGCGTAGTAAAATTATCAAATAGTCTTCCAAACTTTTTATTAAGCGTACAAGAGAAAAGAGCGTACAAAAATTACTAGGATTTAAATGACATTATTGGAAGATATATCATATATTCCTAAAAGTAACATCTACTTTAAAATCATTAAGTAGCAACTACATATATTGTGATATGACACGATTGTATATATTGGCATTATTAATAATGAGTAGAAAGATATTTCGATATATTTTTATTTAAATGGTTTCAGTTTCAAATATATTTTCTGTTTACAGTACGAAAATTTAGGACCAATAATATGAAAGGATTGAACAGAATGAAAATTGGTCTTTTTTAATCTTACTTCACAGTAGGTTAATTAATTTTGTGTTTAGCACGATGAAAAATAGTCATTTTTTGTTAAATAGAATGTCTAGAGTCTTATGAGTAAAATAAATAAGGATCGAAAGTTTAATTGAAATTAATCCGCTAAAACAATTCTTAAAAATATATAAATTAACTACAAATTCAGTGCACACATATGTAAGTGAGGGCGCGATCAGTATTTTTCTGCGATACGAGTCCAAAATGTCAGACATCGATAAATGGATGGAACTTGCAAAAGAGTGCAAGTATCTTCCTGAAAATGACCTTAAGGTAAATAATATGTGAAAGATATTAATAATAATACTACCAATTATGTTATATTTTGTTAACATATATAACAAGACCTTAAACATACACTCATAGGTTACTTGAATCTCCTATATGTCTCTTAACAATAAAATTAATTTTGTTCAGAAACTTTGTGACATGGTATGTGACATATTATTAGAGGAATCTAATATTCAACCAGTATCTACTCCGGTAACAGTATGTGGAGATATTCACGGCCAGGTAAACTTTACAGTTTTATTCTAACCTCAACATGATATCGATATCTTCAGAGATAACGATAACTATTTCAACGATAAAGGTATGATTCTTTTATATAAATCGGTTTTTATGATTGTTTATTTTCTTTTAGTTTTACGATCTAGAAGAATTATTTCGTAATGGAGGCGCTGTGCCAGAAACAAATTATATATTTATGGGAGATTTTGTAGATAGAGGGTATTATAGCGTAGAAACATTTACTCGCCTACTCACACTTAAAGCTAAATGGTCTGATAGAATAACATTACTTCGAGGAAATCACGAATCCAGACAAATCACTCATGTCTATGGTTTTTATGGTTAGTATATATTATGTTATAAAAATGTGATGTATTTATTGTAATACAACATCTAAAAGATTATTTGATAGTAACTCATTACTCTGCATGTTTGATAATTATGATAATTAGATCTATTATATTCTATGCAGATGAATGTCAAAACAAATATGGCAATGCGAATGCATGGAAATACTGTTGTAAGGTGTTCGACTTACTTGCAGTTGCTGCCGTTAGTATTTGTAAATAATAAATAAATTTAATATTGTGTTATGATGTTTAATAAAAACGTGGTATTTTTATTTAGTTAATTGATGAACAAGTACTTTGTGTACATGGTGGATTGTCTCCAGCCATTAAAACATTAGATCAAATTAGAACGATTGAAAGAAATCAAGAAATTCCGCATAAAGGTATTTTTACTGTTTTTTGATATGTTATGTTATATTATACTTGAATACATTTCGATTTCTGTTTTAGGTGCTTTTTGTGATTTGGTTTGGTCCGATCCAGAAGATGTTGAATCATGGACTATTAGTCCACGTGGAGCAGGTTGGTTATTTGGAAGTAAAGTAACATATGAATTTATGGAAATCAACGATCTTAAACTTATTTGTAGAGCTCATCAATTGGTTCATGAAGGTATATATTGTTACACAAATTATACATATTTATTTATGCGTAAAATGCACACAAAAGAACTTTATGATTATATTTCATATATTTCTGTCTTATTTACAGGTTATAGGTACATGTTTAATGATAAGCTTGTAACAGTATGGTCAGCTCCAAATTATTGTTATCGTTGTGGTAACGTAGCTAGTATTTTGCAGTTTACAACTGTCGATCAAAGAAACCCAGTGCTATTTCAGGCAGTGCCTGATTCTGAAAGAGTAATTCCACCTTTAACTATTACACCATACTTTTTGTGATCTAATCTAGTGTTCCATTTGTTTGGATGCAGAAAGGTGGTATCTGCGTCTAAACGTTACGGAATTACATGACTGTTTCTTCATGTTGACGGACACAGGCTGATACTTTGACGGAGCATCAAATTTTGAAGTATTATTTAGAATTTTAATTAAAAAAATTTTGTTTATGTTTTTATACTTAAATGTTATTTGGAGAACAGGATTGTCGTGTGATTGCTTATTCAAGGAATGATTTTACACAGTTTTTAGGAAATTTATCCATTTTTGTATATTAAGAAATTAACTTTTATATATAATTGCGCCTGCCATTGCATCAGCCTGATTCTCCTAGTTTGAAAAATGTTTCGCATTGAAATGTGAACACTATGGTCTAGACGCTTTTGCTGTCTACTGTGGACATTCTAGAGCATTCGTATCTCAGAGCAGTATTGTGAATGTACCGTTCTAAAGGCTAAGAGCTTTAAAATAAGTTATGAACACAAACAACAGCAGGTTCAGTAATGTATGAATGAATAAATGAGAAACCATTTAAACATTCCGAAGTGGGAGAGTCTCTGAGTATAGTGAATGCTTCATTGATATTATGATCGTTGTGCGTAGAATTCAGGTTTATTAAAGCGTGAGCATATATACTACTGTTAAGGTCTTCCTGAGTATGTAATTGATCTGTTTCTGATTTAGACATTGTGTACGCTGTGTGCAATTCTTTTTATTCTAGATGCGCAATCAGTGTTCTTAGCAACATAAAGTCGGCGGTTCTGCCGAGGTACAAATAGTATGTAGCAGTAGCCAAAGATTTCCTGCCCAGGTAAGGAAATTGAGTAGAAAAATTGTATTATATAATAGAAGTTTTCTTATTATTTTTATGCACATGACAATTTTATATTTCATTCTCTTTTTTCCTTTTACGGGCTCAAAATACTATTTGCAAAATATCTTAAAAAGTACTGAAATTTTTTCATAATATCGGCCTTTTTAACTATGTTCTACTTTTATGTGTACAGAGCAATAGTTTGAATATTATTATATTCTCAGAATCTTTGTACAGTTTTCACATTATATGCCAAATCGCTGTCGTACTGAATAATTATAATAGCTAGACTGTCATAAGTTCATTAATGTAGGGAGCAACTTTTAAGAACCAAGACCCTTAGCAATGTGCCTCTAAATTAATAAGCGTTTGTGTAATATAATGATACGATATTGATACATAATCAATGGAACGCACCGGCCATTGCGTATCATAAGCCTGAATTCTGACCATCGATTTACTAGCTCATGATATTCCCTAACCGATCACAGACCCGACAATTATGGCATTGGCATTGGCACTGGTTGTCAAGTTGAAACTACTCTATTTTGAGTTTTGTGATATAGTTCAAGCGAGGCATGTGAAAATTGCATCGATGTTTGTAACGATTTTCCATGTCGGATCGTTTGAAAATGTTTTGAAGACTTGTTATTTCAAAAAAAAAATGAAAAAAAAAATAAAAATAGTCAACTTTTGAACAGTGCCTTCAGAACTATAACACGACGGTCTACTAGAAGTAAATACTTTCTACTGACGGATAATCATAGACGAACTAGGACGGATCATATAAATAACAGAGAGCTTAACAAAGGCGTGTGTAAGGAATTCTCTTCACTTTTTTATATTCCAGAAAATATCATTAACAATTACTTTATCATATTTCGATCTTTATTATTATCTCGTAAGATATTTCGGCGTCCAATTCGATGATTGCTTTACACGATACTTTTTACATTTTACAATATTATCGATAAAAAATACGATTTATATATATATATATATATATATAATATATCCAGATTGTTACAATATGCAATTATACGATTTTACATTAATCACTGCTTTGTATTTACATTATTGATATTATATTAGATAGATCATTACACAAGGCAAGACACGGAGTTTACGTTACAAACTCGATCTGTCGGTTTTGCAGCCTCTATTATTATCGTAAAACGGTGGTGATGCGTGAGAATGCCTACGTAGTACGGGGATATCCTAGGAATCATAAAAGTATTAGCTTCTGTGTCTACTTAGGTATTCACAGCAGTCACCTTTGAAATGCCTCTGTCTGTGATCGCTTTAATCTTATCGAAGTGTCCAAGCGCTTGCGGCGATTTACATCGGTAAGCTCACAGGAATAAAGACAATGACATTAAATAATGAGACTACTTTAGCTTAATAAACGTTTTGTGCAGGAGCTTGAACACTGCGCATAATTCTTAAAGATCTCACAGGTAGACAACATTTTAACGATCATGTACCTTGAAAGTATAGATTTTGTTATGTTAATGTAATGAAACGTCTGTAATAAAAATGCGCAAAAATTGCAACTGACATTATCAATAATACTCCTGTTATTATTGTGATAAGTAAAGTACAAATATATACATATAACACGCATACACATATACGTATACATACATATATATACCGTGAAATGATAAAGGGAGAAACTATCGTATGTAGGTATGGGTATAGAATAATAAAGATATCACCAAATTTGTTCATCTTTAATTAGTTTATTTACTTGTAATAATATTATTTTCATCGTATATATAATAATTCTATTTATTCCTTACTATTTATATATAATAATATAGTGTATTTATGTTCATTATGTATAATATATTATCTACATTTATATAATCCCTATGAAAGGCATCTCCAAACAGACTTCAGATTTACTTTTTTTTTTAAAATATCTTATTTATTCATAAAAATACAGCAGGGGGTTTACGCGTCACCTGTGAAGTCTAGCCTGTTTTGCCCAGAACCGATAGCTTCCGATTTATTGGTCGGATGAACATCATTATATTATATCTTACAATACTTAATCCTTGCGGTAACAATGAATTTATTCTTATGATTATCAACTTCATCTATATACACATCTTTATGAAAACAAATGTGATAATTTTTTTGCCCGACTATAAATCTGCAAGCGCGTCCGTGTTATACTTCTCGTTGTACTTCGTCGTATTTCGTGTATAATCGCATTATTAATAATCATCATTTATCATTTGTTACTCAGAAAAATGATAACAGATTGAACGAATTTTAGAGCTCATTGCACGAAGGACGCAATGTAGTAAAAAAATGCAACGAATAAGCTAAATTGGTATTTAAAGAAATTGTTTGCTAACGGTAAAAAATAAAATATGTAAATTTTTGTATTAAACTTATTATACAAACATATTCTCTTTTACATCGACTAGAGTATTTAATTAAGTATTTGATTTTGACAAAAGATTATATGTAGATTTTCAGTCTGTTTAATTATGCATTATTCTTTAAGTATTTGCTTTTAAAAAGAAAAATTCCAACTACACATATAAATTCTATATTTGAGACAATAAGTAAAGTTCTTACCAAATTGTTAAATTGCATATTATAATAAAATGTCGATGTGCAACTATTTTGAACAATTCGTGCAAAAAATTGTAAAATGTAATGTGCATATAAAATACAAGAAATGCGTGAATGATATTTGAATCATTCCTAATAAAATAATATTCATTAAAAAAATACATTCATGCGCGATATAAAGCTCGAAATCGTTATCAAATCAGGTGTAAAAATTCGAAAAATGCTAGATGGAGCAATTTCGCGAATGTTTACGTTCATCAACGAGAAATTGTATTTCGCGCGCGAAAGTTGGTAAAAAAATGATTAGCAGCAGTATAGCATCCGGTTCCTGGCAAAGCAGCAATTCACACAGTGCCCAAATCTCAGTTACAAAAGGAATAGTCGAAGGTAAACGAGATGATAAAAATGTACTTCCTAAACGTAGGTAGAAATTGGTAACTTTGACTCACTCATTGAAAAAGTATTTCCTCTTGCCAGTCTGGCATTCGTGTTTTCTTTTTGCCCGTCGTTTTTGGGTTAACGTTTGCATTTCGCGCTTCTTTGCTTATACCGTGACAAGCAGCATACTTCAGTGTTAACCAATCCGTTCGAAGTAATGGTGCAGGTTTGAAAGTTTCGTCGTTTTAACAAGAAAATAACAAACTGACATTTTTAGGAGATCCAGAGATCAGTAAATTGAGGGCCAAGGGAAATATTTCGGTGAATGAAATATATAAGAACGTCTTAATCTGACAATATAAATATGAACGTTGTTTCAATATCACATCAATGCTTAACGATTTTGATGCCGTGGTTTGTAGCTCAAATGTACATTGTACATAGGCAAATTATATCAGATGTTATATATATTTCCCCATACATATATATAGCAATATATATATAATGTAATTATCATATATATATATTACATTATATATATATGGGACAATATATGTAACATCTGAAATAATTTGCCTATGACGATAATATATCGTAATATATATATATTTATATATATATTAGGGCGATGAATTATGACGATAATATATATTAATGATATATATATATATATATTAGCGTCATGATTCATCGTCCCAAAAGAAATACAAGTTTCTATTACCATCCCGACATTTGTGAACAGAGCATAGACAACTCGGCAAAACTCGGTGTCGCATACATATCCTGCATAGCATAATTTTAATCAGGCTCAATCGTACGGCTGGCATAGGATTAGAAACGCTGTTGCACCGCTTGACACTATATAAGAGCAGGTATAACACGGAATTATACAAAGAGACAGGACTAGTACTTTCAACGTAGTTATTATTAAACCTTTCGTACAATATGTACAAAGTTAAACCCACAAACGAGAGGCATATGTATTTTTTATATTTTTAAATTTCATCTTTTTTTCTTTTACTTTTGCTCAATAGACTCTCACTCGCACTTAAATATTAAAGGTTGGGCATGATAATACTCGCGGGTAGTATAATGCCCTAAGTCTTGCTGATCCAACGTATAGCTCTCCCGTAAGCAGCTGCTGTACTCCCAGACATCGGTGCACATTTCTTTTTATACAATATACATATTTATATTTATATTTATATTCATATTTATATTTATATTTATAATTTATATTTATATTTATATTTATATTTATATTTATATACTTATATTTATATTTATATACTTATATTTATATTTATATACTTATATATAATGTAATATAATAGACAGTCCAACTCGGTGCTTTTTTCTCTTAACGCGGCGTTCTTTTTTCCTCGCCGTTCTTTAACATCTGTTTCGATGCTGTATGTACATGCTAACAATAAATAGGAGGCGACAAGAAAAGAGTTCTCCGCGGGAAGTACATTATCTTTACTAGCTAACGGGAATAAAAAAAGGAAACAGAATTGGTTGATGGGCAGGGTTATAGGAACATAAGGGTGAACAGTCGTGGTTTGGTGGATCAACTCGAGGGAACGGGCAGGGAAGAGGAAGGAACGAGGAGCGTAAAAAATGTCTACGAAGGTAGGAGACAAAAGAAAGAGAGCAAAAGGAACAAATGTATCGGTCTAAATGCTAACACGATTGCTTCCTTTCTTCGTATTGCACTATACTAAACGGTAACTTCAAAGTAAATTTTCGCGCGTAAACGTGAGGAAATTACGAGCGATTTATGTTTTCGAAGAAAAAGTAAAAGAAAAAAGAAATACGCGTTAGCCAATATCATGTCAAATATTCTCTTAACGTAATTTAGCGAGCTTGTTTTCTTTTTCTCTTCGTTCTTCTATCTTGCTTGTTTTTTTTCTTTCTATTACTCGCGGTTGCGACCTTATCGACCGTCCAATTGAACACAGAACAAGTGTACGATGATGTCCGGGGAATACAGGAACCGTTACCCCCAGTTCCTTAACCGCAAATAATATACATTGTTTACCGTATGAAGTATCCCATCATTAGTTAAGTCTTATAGTATGGACAAGTATCCCTAGGCTAGTAGGCCCAAGGTCTGTGTGTATAGTTCTCGTGTTGATTTTTTTTTTTTCGTACATGCGCTCGCGATCACGAGTCCGGCGAAATTGTCTCAAGATGTGGAAAAGGCATCAAGGTTGACGAAAGTAGAGAAAGTTCACCGCGAAAGCTTCGGTGGAATTTGCTTTGAGCAGAATATTCGCTTTGTAATTTGTAGTGTAGGAAAATAAGAGGAAGAGAAAATTAAGGATCAGGGAATGAAGATAAATGCAACACGACCGAAGGCATCCAAAGACACGACAACGGACCTTCGGGATCAAAGAAAGGGGAATTCGATTTCATCGTACTCGTGATCGTGTGCGTAGCGGTAATTAGCGCGTGTTTACAATAACTTCTATGGAGGCAAGATGAAACAATCACGTTGTGATAGAACATGCGCTAATTAATCATTACATGCGTATACAAGGAGCATTATTCATCATTTTTTCTTTTTCTTTTCCAAGACACGAACAAGACGTTTCGACTGGCGTCAGCCACCGGTTTGTTTCCTATCGTTATTTCCATTTTCTACAACTGGTTTTGCTATCTTAAATAATTGAGCCAATCTGAAGAACCAGGTATTTCTGAGTCACAAGGAAACCGAATATCACACGTGTCCGCGACACATAAATATGTATTATACATATGTATATGCATATGTATATCTACATTTGCCAAAGTGGGGAACAATTTTCCATAAATCCGATAAAAGCTCACGCGAGAAGAAAAAGGTATACTCGAACTTTTATTACTCTATTACCTTTTTTTGTTTGCTACGAATATAAGCTTCCTCGTAATAAAGAAATACCAAGTCCTTTGCTAGTCACATTTTCCATTCGTTTATGCATTTTACCTTCTCTTTTTCTCCTTTTTCTTTCTTGTATATAATACTATGAAATTATCGCAGTCATTTTAACGAGGAATTATAAAAAACAATCTTTTGTCACGAATCAATGGGGAACGCTTGGTAACAAGAAACGAAGCGCGCGCGCTCACGCGCACAGGTTCGAACGATCAGATCCTTGCAAGGATTTTCAATAGAAAAAATATCACTTCGATATACGGCAGGCTACGAATTCATTAGAACTATATAAAAAACGTTTAAAAAGTTTGTCTTACGTATCGAAAATCAGTATCAGTTCGAAGAACATCCGTTACAAAAATTTTGCAAAATATTTGCAAGTCATCGAATCGAACTTTATTTAAAAGTCGTCGAGAATCTCGCGGAAGCGTCTCGTTTGTGAGAAGAATTTCGTCTACGCGACACTTCCCTCTTTTCGTAAGCTCTAGAATCGCGTGATCTCGTGATCCGAGAAAAGTGGAGGATCGGATCGTTCGAAGGACGAGTCAAAAATCGACCGGTGAATGATGCACGATATTACACGCGTAAAGATTTACGTCGATGACGATAAAATGTAAATTAACAAAACTGTGAATATATATATATGTATATATGTATATATAATATAGTCTTCTGTGTTGCGCGCTTGGACCATGATTCGGAGCGGTGAATGACGACAAGAACGACAATAACAACGAGGACGATTTACGAGTCAATAAGTCTGTAGTCTAGAGTCTAGCCAGATTTCCATCCAAATGTGTTCAACGTCGGGAATATTTTCCTTCGTATAATTGAAGGGTACCATTGAGTAGACGTCAAATTTGTCTCTGCATCACTTTATGCAAATGACATCAGTTTTTCTGTTTTTCGATTCAACAGTTACGAAAAAATCGTCATCGTTTTTACAAACATCCATTCAGCCAGTCCTTGTTCTAGTAATGACGACGGCCGTGTTCCCTGTATCTTCTCTTGATTAGAATGATAATTGAAATATCACACTTACGTCTGCAACGTCGTTTAGTTTAAGGGTAGGATCACATGGATACATAGACGAGAGTATTTAAGTATTTATAGGCGTTTAGAGTTATTTTGTTATCGAGAATGCGTACTCGTTTGACTGTGATATTGTAATTATTATGCTCGCGTGTAAAGATACATAGATACGCGGCGATCGATTCGTTCACTGATCGATTGTTTTGCGTTTGTGCTGTTGCTGGTGACTTGTCGTCGATTATCATCATCACCATTATCATCGTCATCATCATCATCGTTATTATTATGATCACCATTATCATCAACATCGGTCGATTGATCTTTCGGTCGTTTTAATGGTAGTCTGCTATTTAGTTTGATAGTGGTGGAGAGTAATAGTAACAGTAGCAGTAGTAGTAGCAGCAATAGTAGTAGGTGGTAGTAGGTGGCCTACAGTGAGCGTACGTAACGAGAGTTTTATTATCGATCGGATTATGCAACGTGAACACACAATGACGTAGTTGCGCGGTACTGCGTACAGAAATATATTATTATAGTCTTTCAGTTTCGATAAAAAAGTTCAGTTCCCTCCTCGATTGATTTCCCATCTCGAGGTGGCGCGCTTCCTCACTCTCCCTCTCTTTCTCTCCCGCTCTTTCGCTCTCTTTCGAACTCATTTTATTCTTTCATTAATTTGCTTTTTTTATTTCTTATCTAAAACACACTCTCTCTCTCTCTCTCTCCTCCTCCGTATCCTTTGCGTCTCTTTTTTTTCAAATCTTCTCGTTTTTCTGTAGTTTTTGTTCTTTCTTGTTTTTTTCCTTCTAACGCTTTTGTCTGTTTTATCACGCTTTTCGCAGGTTCCTCGTTCTCTTCTCGACTTTCTTCGTTTTGTACAACGCAACGAACACACAGATTTATATTATTTATATTATTTATATATATACTTTTTTTTATATAATTATTATACACACGCAAACAAAGCCTTTCCCTTTTCCCTTTTCCTATAAGTCTCTCCCGTTTGCTTTTGTTTGTTTGTTCGATTCTATTTTCATATATATACATATATACATACAATATAATCTTTCGCGTGTATATATATGTATATATTTATATGTATAGTATGTATATAGGTATTCAGCTTCGTTTATCGTCAGTTTGTTTTTTATTTACTATCTTTGAATTGTTGAGTTCAATAGGAAAGGAACGTAGAACATTTTACTCTCAAGTAGAAGAGCTGCCGCTGATTGTACCTGGAATGCAGGAAGAAAACAGGATCGACTTAGATTGTAGGTACTGTTTTAACTCGTCTCTCACGAAAACATTTATAAATACGATCGTACTATCATGGATACTCTATTGCTTGAATCTTTCTCTATCATCGATCATAAAAATTGTGCATATTTTCATATTTCTATTTATTTACTTCTTTTATCTACTTTATTCTATTTCTTTTTGTTCTTCTGTACTTTACGCTACACACCCATCTGGTCAAGTGAAAATCTAAACGATTCTAGGGGAAATTTTTTATGGCTGACTTACTTCGGGCAATCTGACGAGAAGATCATGAAATCGATTCGGCTGTTGAGGCGCGCTGTGTTCGACAAAACTCCGTAGACAGCTCATGTACCGTTCTTGTAGATGTTCTAATTCCATAGTACCTCCACGTGCTAAGAGAGGACAAATACAAGAGAAATAATCGTGAACATGTGCTGATAGCGATTTATATAGGGTGATAAAAACAAAGGTTCAGAAGTCTAATGGATGGATAGATTTACTAAACGTAAGGAAAGTTTTCGAAAGATTCTCAAAGATTGTATATTCACTTTTCGATTCGTTTATTAAGATTTTCTTTCTTCATTTGCTGAGCACTATTATATTTTTATCTTTGAAGTTCTGAATTTTATTTTTCACTATAATTATAACTATTCGATCGTTAGTAAATTTTAATTCCTTCAGTAATTCGCGATGTCTTTCTAAGATTTATTCGACGATTATCAATCCTTCCTTGAGTATCATTTTGCTTTCAAATTTGTTGAGAATATATCAAGTAATATAAAGAATATAAATATATCGTTACTTATGTTCAGATGGTTGGTAAATGTATTCCGTATGGAGAATGCAGGTACTTTTCTTTCGATTTGAAACTGTTCGAATAATTACGAGCTGTACTCTATACATATGGCATGTAAAGCAAATGAAAAATATGCAAAAATTAGCATCCTATACCGTGTTTACACGCAAACTTACATTTTGCTTCGCCAATTGCAGCATTAGCAAAAAGGATGCATTTCTTTATATCTTAAGTATCTCGATAAAATAAAAAAGAAAAGAAGAAAAGAAAAAACAGGCATGTACGGTATTTGTGCATTTTTAAATGATTTATCTGATAAGAATACTTACCTTGCGAGAGCATGGTGATTACTTTCAGGCAGACGTATTCTTCCATTCGTAATCTCACCCTCCTGAACATTAATGTGACGTATGTAATTTTTTCCACCATGAGCCCTACGTCTTGCTGTAATTGGTCCATGGTTATCGGTCGGCCCATCATGTTCGTTAGGCACGTTTGCAACGTATACATGTTGTTTGAAACCTGTGCACGAATACATTTATTTAATCTAATTCAAACGATACACGTTTGATTAATACAGTGTCACAATTCCTTTTTATATTTTTCAAAGTAGAAAGTTTCTTCGTTTCTCAAATAAATCTTCCTATGATCTCCTCGTGTTTAAATATAGAAAGTACTGCTTGAATTCACGAATGTCCGTACAGAACCATATCTGTCTGGCTAAGATTTATGCAACCAATTACGATTCTATTAAGGATCGTATTTATCCGATACTATTTGCAATAAAAAGCGTACTCTACATTACTCTTTGAACAGAAATGCCCGACCCGTGGGCTACAGGTGTGTACTATCGGTTCACGTCATGAAATAAATCTGCTGTACTGTATTCGTTGGTTAAAGTGAAAGTTCTTTATCTGTGGATCTCTGCTAAATCGAGGAGTAGTAGATTTAAATGCAACGAAGGATAGAAAAGTAATTACTTCTTGCATAAAATCCGCTCCCATCACGTCGCTTCCGACGTTGGAGAACTTGTGCTGACCATGTATCGCTTGATAAGCGGAAGTGGTCAGCACCAGGATCTCATGCCACTTGTGGGTGAGCAACGTCGTGTGAACTTCGACCGGTAGCTCAAGGTAAAACGGTAACCTTTTGGTCCACTGTACCAACTTGTACACTATGCTGTCCCCTATCTGACACAGCTTGTCGCTTAAGTTTGATTTATGGTCCAGTAGCTCGTCCAAGTTCTGGAATATAAAAAAGGAGGTACACGTGCGAACAGAGACACACCGTTTGTGTTGAAATTTTATTCGTTCGAATAGGAAAAGTATAGAACCCTAGAGAATGTGCAGCACGAATGGTAATGGAACAGTTTAAAAACTATGAAGTAGATGAACGCACCCTTAACGTGGCAATGTCTTGGAACTCGTCGCAATCTATTAGAGACTGGATCATAGCAACGGTTGCATCGAAAGGAAAAGACCGATCCCTCGAACTGCTTACTGTGTTGTCTAACCTCTGCCTTAAGTGTACCACCTTAAACACAAAAAATTTTTCTCTTAAACTATTTGAATTTGTTAAAATTTATCGTTTCTGAGTGTTATACTGCTACTACTCCGGCATGACGATTTATGGGAGGATTAAGGAATATAGGATTATGTAGGACTTATCACATAACTTGAAAACTAATTATATATGTACAAATCTGAAGATTATTAGATAGATGAAATTTAAAAAATACGATTAATTTTCAATTTCTTAATGGAGTTTGTTAATCATTTATTTCGATGCTCGTACAAAAGATGCTAACGTTTAAAGCACTCTCGTATAAAAATTACAATTATTTTTACGCTGATTGCAAGAAATGTATTTGTTACTGCGAGAAATTGAGCGAATGACTTAAAATTTTAGGAACTCCAATCGTTAATGGATTGTTAATTGAACTAACGACAAAAAATAATATAAAAAACCAAAAACAGATTTAGATATGAAATGTGCCGCTTTTGTATTGAATTTTTCAATTCCATATACATATGTATGTACTATCTTACATCGTACACATACTTTATTCCGAGCGTATCGGTTGGAACCAGTGGAAATAAAGTTGCTGAATATTCCGATATATCCAGTGTCGAGATGGCAGGATCTACGATGGTCGCACTTTGATAATTTCAATCTGTCAGTGGACGAATCGTGGGGTCGTGCTTTCTACGTAAATCTGATCTGGCCTTTCATTGACCTTTCGATTCTCGAGATCGGTATTTCTGAAGTATATACGGTTAGGGAGAGCAGTCTGAGGTCCCCGGTGACACTTTCGGAGAAAGCTGCGATCCCCGTTTTTGCTCGGCTTTATCTTTAAGTTACGTGCATATTGACGAACGTCACGCAGCCGTGGGACACGCGTTCTCGTTGCTGACGGCGATCTCGCGGTGGAGATGGAGGGACGAAGGTGTTGGAGGAGGAAGAGAAGGAGGTAGGGTGAGGTCAGTGTCCCTTGTGCAGACTTTCACGAGTTACGAAACCGGCGCGCGGCGGAGAACTGCCCGTCCTTGGCACCGGCTGTCGCTGATTTTCTATTGTCCCTACCTTCGAGTCGTCGTCATCTTGATGCGATGTCGATAACGACTGACGCCTCTCCTTCGATGTATACATATTATATACGCGTAATCCTTACCAAACATCGTGAATTCCGTTTTTTATTCGTTTCGCGACTATTTCGCAATCGCGCGTTAGCGATCTGACACGATCAAATAATTCTATCATTTGTTTATAGGTAAGTTTTGTGAAGTTGTGAGACTAATCAACTGTAATTGGTGATATTAAGGCGGGATCCTGTTGCAATTAAGGAACATGAATATTCGTCCGTTGACCATTTCAAAGTCAGAAGATATCCACCGTATCGCACAAATGATCATGACAGTATGTAGTGGCAATTTTCTAGGACGGTGAATTCATCCTTCTTACAAATTCTACTTCTCGCAATCAGAAGCTTCTAGAAAAAGCTCTGGTAAACTCCATGGACAATATCGTTCTCGCACTGTCGCATTTCTTGGCAAAGATCTGGAATCTTGTTTCTGGAGAAACACGTTAATCCGAATCTTTATGCATCTCGAAACTCTCCATTCTTCCAACGCGGGAGGAGAACTTTTGAAATTCATGAGAATCCATACGCTGCATCGTGGCGAGTGTGCAACGATTCGCCTGGAGATGGAAAGTGACCTCCTTAATCGTATTCCATCCACAAGGCAATATTTATCCGGTTCGGGAGTCATCGATTTCACTTTTGGCAATGGCCTCTACCGGACTTACTGTTCCCGGTAATTCTTCTCGTTGTTTGCATACCTCACCTGGTCTGTAAACGTAACACAGCGTCATTCGAATATTCTCGATAGTTGATTGCGCACCAAGCTACGTTACGTATGTATGTATTATACTCTTGTCGCATAAATGGTCCCCGACAACGTTCGTCAACGCGTGAGCTTTCATGCGACGAATTAAAACGATCTGATTATCACGGTTCGTTTCGATGCTGTATATTACGCGAACGGCACAGAATATTGATAAGCATCCACGATCCACCGTTACAATCGCGTCATTTCAATGAAGTTCGATCATTACTGACCAACGATGAGTCGCGCAGTTCTACTTCGAACGAGCGTTCATCATCTAGAGGATTAATTTCGGTTGCGAAGGTTTAGCTCGTCGAACCACGCGAAATGGTTGGTGCAGCTCGAACCTCTAATAGGAAACACTTTCACGACGTAAAAGATAGTACTATGTTTAGACGAGCACGAAAAGGCATGTGAGACGGCGACGACCAACCAAGTACTCGGCTTGCTGGTATCTATCGGCTTTCGTAATGTGGGAAACCTTGAGGCTTGCGCAAGCAAAGTCGTAAGAAAGTGAAATTGCAATATGGAGTTCATTCATTTCAGGATCGTTCTCGAAAATGGTCGAAATCCGTCGAAATCCGTCGAATTGATTAATTTTTCCCACTTGCTTGTTCCTCTGCTTATTTTATTATTCGTGCTTTCCAGCGTTCTTTTTTACATTTTTTCATATCTTTTATCGTTAACTTGACGTATCGAGATGTCAGCTCTTGATTATTTCATATGTTTAAGGTTTCTTAACCAGATACATTTTTATAAGATTGATCATTTTTAATCAATTCCCGACAATTTCAAAGATCAGGAAAATAGAATGATCGTCACGCAAACGTAAAACATGCAACATAATCTATATTTTTTAGCGTTTCTTTGTAACTTGTCACTATTTTCTCAATTTTTTCTTCGAAACAGCAAAACACTATTTCAATTTCTCGCAATAATAAATATATTTCTTTGCGTAAAATTGATCAATTGATCGGAAAATGGACACACCTCACGTATATTATACACCGATTTCTGGGTTTTTGTATTATTAACTAGCTCACTTGTTCTAACGTCTTCCCATTACCTTTTAGACTGTATCATATAGTCTCGTAAACAGAAAAATTGTAAATGACGCATATCTATATTTAATTTCCTTTGAAAATTTGTTACAAGATTGTTAATGGTTTTTTCGATCATTAAAATGTGGCGAAAGCGAAGAGGAACAAATATTTAACCATACTATTCGCGATAATTCTGTAATCGTTCACATATTTATTTCCTGTATGACTTTAGCCTCAATCCAGGAGCCGTGTAGTCATTGCGCAGAATTCATCGACTGACTAACGTTCCTCGAATGATTGTTTTAAACGCGCACATAGCGGCCTCCTCACGATCTCGAAACCAAAGTTACTGATGCCGTAACCTAGCCAATACCATTTTTGCGCGATCTCGTGATTCATTGCTGGATTCATTTCTGGAGGAAAGGTCGCGAGGATTTGAAATTTCACCGTTGTTTCCGATATGTGGAAGATCGAGTTGATCCGATTAATACGATATCATCGTATTTTCCTGGTGTTTAATCGCGTTGAAACCGATCGAGAACGTGCTGAATTGGATGAAAGAAATCCCCATGAGCGAGAAAGATCGCGTTGGCGCATGTGATCCGATCGCGTGCAGCTGCTTCGAAAGTGAAAGTGAAGATACCTTCAGGACGTTCTCATCAACGGTGCATTCTCTCGACGAAGATCAACTTTTGTCGACCCGTGCTCGATTTCTAACGAGCCGTCTCGAATAAATCATTCGAAATCGTGTTACGGTTGCACGGACGACGTTGATCTATACGCGTTCGCGGAGTGTTCGTTAAGACGCGAACAGAGGAAAAAACATTTCACACGTATATGTTGGTTGGTTTGTTAGATAATCGATCTAATGGAGAGCTGATAGAGAAATCCCATGGAATCTTTCTTAGACGTTATATCTAGCGCGCTTCCATGAGTTATCATGCAGAAAGATCGCGTGGAATCGAATACGTTGCGTCACGTTGCTTACGAAGAGATGTTCAAAGGAACAGGGAAAGAAGTGGAAGTTATCGTGCTGGGTGGACGCTTAACCTTTTTCGCTGCCTTCCTGTTGTTAACAAATTTCTCAGCTTTGGTGAAAACACGAGAGAGTGAAAAAGAAGAACATTATGCTTATGTATTAATCAATATTTCTCAATATTTTTCAATTTCATAAGATTAATAGATAACTTTTAAGTTGAATTTTACGACAGAGCTTTTCTTAAAACATTAATAGCCTTCTGATTTATTAAAACGGGAGCAGTTGGGTCATAAAAATTCAAATATTACAGTAGAGAATTCTGTTTTCCCGTGCTTTCGCTCATTGTTGCCGATTTAATCCGTATCTAGAGTCTACAAAACATTATCTGCCAATGGAATGTCGTTCATGCGTCATTGGACAAGATAGCTACTACATATCTCTTCGCTAGATCGTGAGGACCTTCGTTTAAAAGTTAGGGATTATAGTAAAAAATCAAGGCGGAAGAAGAACGGTGTAAAAGTGCAGAACATGACGTGAACTCACTTCGGAGGGGTTGGTGAGCGCTGTCTTCAGGATCGTCCCATTAACAAGGTGTCCCGAATGCGCGGGGTGACTTGAGTGACTGGTGGTAGATTGCGAGTTGAGCGGGTCGCCCGACGAAATCTTGTGATGATGAAGAAAACCACCAGCTAGCTGGACATGTTGCTGTTGGCTGTGGTGAGCGACTGCGGCTACAGCCATGTGTTTGTCAAGCATCGTCGAACCCATGGTGCTTTTGCTACCACCAAGGGATCCCGACCCGTTAACACCGCCAACATTACCGCCGCTACTTATGCCACCCATGCTTCCGCCCACTCCACTTGTTTTGTTACTTTTCTTGTGCTTTTTGTACTTCACCTATGGAAGGAAAGAGGGCGGAATAAAATTAATCATTTACCTTGGAAAACAATACAACGATCGACATGTAATTGTTGAGTGCGTGAATATATCTTTAAGGATCAGTTTCTCATTCTTGTATTCACATGTACATCAACAACAAAACGTTAGGGAGCTAACAAAAAGTTAGGGAGCATTAGTGTTTTTAAAAACCTTTCGTATGTTTTTCGCTCTTGAAAAGATAATTTTATTGAATAATGTTTTAATTATTTGATATCTTTATTTTATGGTGTTAATAATTATCGAAGATATCAAGTTAATACTAACCTTGTAAAGGTTATATACAGCACCAGAATTTCTTCCTCCAGGCATTCGATCTTCTCGAACGGCCTGAAGGACCATACCCTGTTCAATGCACTTTTTGAAACGACAGTACTGACACCTGTTTCTTTGGGCCTTCGTAATTTCGCAACCACCTTCTGCCACGCACGTGTACACTCGCCTATTTTGTACAGTTCTTTTGAAGAAACCCTTACACCTGCACACACATAATTTCATGCTCTTTCACATTGCACATTCATAAGAAGATTTCATAAGAACTTTCCAGAGATTTCAGTATAAGAACTTATGTTTACTATAACAAATTATTGTTATCCGTGGTTCAGTACGTTGTAAACGAATTAGACGATAGAAATCTGCTCTATTTTCAAGATGTAGATTATATCGTGATTATCTTCAGTGAAACATTATGTACAACTTCATAAAACAAGGCTGACATTACAGTATTGAATTCATTTTTGGCGATACAGGTTCGTTTATTTCAAATCTTTTTACGTAGCTTATTATTAAAAATAAATACTTGTCCTGTTCCAAACAGTCATATTCTTTTTTGAAACACGGATCTTTTAATTAGCGTGAAGTGTAGAGCAGACAGAGTGGAAGGCATTTTACAATTAGTCATCAAGGATTTTCTATCCAAAGAATAAAGTTCCAAAGTTTTCCTTGCTTCTCAGGAGAGGATCTCGATTCTAGAAACCGATTAAAGATTCATACTTGGAGAATTATAGCTACACTGGGATGCGCAGAGAAATTGGTCGTCGACTTTTCTCAACTAATTTGTCGGATTTGTCGGATATGGCGATAGACATTGAATGCACAGGCATGAAAGCAAGTAACGATACCCTGTACTACCTTAGGGATTAATCAACCGCATTGCAGGATATATTAGAATGGGTAGTACCTTGAAGCCTTGAGGTGCACTTGAAGAGACCGAGTGTCGTCGTATCACGAAAGGAGAAATAATGAAAAACTTGGTGATATAATATTTACAGGAGGATATCTATCTATATACATTATTGAAGCGTAACATGGTAACCTCGCAGATTCTGGAAACAATATATTTCTCTGTTCTCAACGTTGAAACGTAGGTAGTATTTAGCATCATCTAAAGGTCAGAGTTCGCCGCGAGGTATCGTGATTAGTGTAGTCTTAACTTTCCGTACATAGCTTCGCTCGATTATCTGTAATTAAGCGGATCGTCCGAATCTTTGACTCGTAACGCGTCGCCGCTATGGCATTCCAGACCAAGCTGTTCGAGATATACAACGGGATCAGTTTTTCAGACGACTAATTTGATTATCACACTTCGACCTCATCGTGCTTGAGTGCATCGCCAGCGATATCTCGAAGAATTTACTCGTTGTTTCTAGTCTCTTTCACGAGACTATCTTTGTTCTCTATTTACGAAATAGCGAAACAAAGATATTTTTGGAACTTTTTGGTATTAATACATGTACAAGTAATACACGTTGTTCTTAATATTTTTAACAATGAGAGAAGATATATTTGCACTTTAAATTCTGTTTTATAATTTACTGTTCGTTGATACATTTGACAGATTTTATAAGCAACTTTTTTTTTAATTAATAACTTATTCGAGTTTCCAATAAATTGAACGATTAAAAGAACTTTATCTCTGTATATCATCTCTATATACTATGAATACAATTCTACCGAATTTGATTTCATTCCTCGTATTTGCAAGTTGATTTATTTTCCATTAAGATAACCATATTTAGATAATTTCTACTTGTCAAAAGATTCTCTAAGTCGTAAGTAATCAATTTCCATCGATATTTTCAAATCGATTCGAGTTTTCTAAATGATTTCGAAAAAAATTAACATGTGCCAAGCAAACAAGTATCATCGTCCAGAAACCATTAAACGCTAATTGTCTGCTACGAATAGTTGTTACTCTATTATTTAATGCACTGTTAAAAGAGAGAAGAACGTTACACCACTCACCCTTCACACGTGATGATGCCGTAGTGCAAACCAGTAGCCTTGTCCTCGCAAATCATACATATCATAGGTGTTTCGTCTTCCTCGTGTTCTTGAGGTGGCATCGGTGGTGCAGGTGGAGCGACTGATATCGACTGCGATGCCGTCTCGGACTTGACGACTCCTCCGTTTCTCTCCCACGTTTGACCGGACCCGGAAGCCGTCAAGTTGAGCGCTTGCATCTGTTGCGCGGCCGGTAATTGTGTCATATCGCCAGCCCATAACCTCTCCATATTGAGTGGTGGACCGGAAGAATAGGAAACGGAGGATGGTTTGCCCCTGGACTCCTGTCCGAGATTTAAAAGTAGCTGGGCAGCCGACTCTTCCGAGGAGGAACAGGATGCCGCCGCGGCCGTTGCCGTCCACGAAGCCGCTGGCGGTGGTACGGGGTCCAATGGTGGCGCGGACCATATCATCGTCCGAACGCCACCGATTTCACCCATGATCACAGTGGGAGGTGGTCTTGGGGGCGCTGGCGTGGGCCTTTGTGCCGGTGGTTTCATCGTTTCGCCTGAAATAAAATATGTCGTATTACGATTAAAATCTTATTCTGAATTTCTACTCCATCAACTGAGCAAGATTGAATGAGGTGCTACGTTAATAGAACGTGCTTAATGTATTAGACTCGGATTAAATGACAAGTAAGAATATCTATCGTTATGACTGACTTCTGACTTACACGAGGAAGCTGTACTAGTTGCCCCCGTGCTCGTGGAAGTTGCCCCATTCCCGCTACTCCCAGTACTGCTGCTCAAATTTGTACTGCTACTAGTGGATGCAACTGCAGCGTTCTGTCCATAGTTAACAGCGCTGCTGATGACCCCGTTCAATAGCCTTTGCGTAGCGAACCCCTGTATACCGTTGTTTTGTGACCAAAATTGATGGTGAGCTAGAAGGTGAGGTGGCACCGAGGGCACTCGGGGTCTCAGCGGTGTTGGCTGTGTTTGCGGTTGCTGTTGTTGAGTAGCGTGTGTCGCGCTCGCGCTAGGACTCATACTCTGGCTAGGGCTGTATTGAGAAGACGGGCTGCTCCGGTGACTAGGTTGACTGGAAGTCTCCGAACGACCACCACCGCCGCTACCACCGCCACCTCCTCCGTCAAAAACCGAGTTATCGGACTCCTCCTTGGTCTGCGCCGACGATAAGTCACCCTTGTCGGGACTGTCGCTCCTTGAAGTCGCTTCTTGAGGCATGGGAGTCGTGGAGACCGCTTGCATCGGCGAATAAGGCGACAACCTGGTTGGTACGGGTGTACCGGAACGTTGTTGTTGATGCTGTTGCTGTTGTTGTTGCTGTTGTTGCTGCTGTTGCTGGTGATAGTGCTGCTGCTGCTGTTGCTGCTGTTCCTCGACGACTCTGTAGCCCACCATCGAAGTGGCATCAGGGAAGACTGAATCGGGTGACGCACGGTCCGAACAGGTTGTATCACGAGCTTCCAAGCCAGTTGCCGCCCCGCTTCCACGAAGAGGATCTCGCGGTGTCCCCGGACTCGGGATGCCTAGCAGATACTCGCTTTTGACTTTGACCACGGGGCAGCCCGGCGAGCTCGGCATGTTAGCCTCCGGCGACAGGGTCGAGGTGTCTGCCATGCTCTCCCCTGGAGCAGGAAAGTTTATGGGTGAAGGAGCGTCCGCCGGCTGGATCCCGAGCGGCGAGCCTGCTGATCCAAGGGATACCGGGGAGTCTGAGAAATAAGGCGTTGGTCTCACGTTTATACTCGATGGAACATTTGGCACACGTTTACCTTGGGAAGGCCGCGATTACGGACGTGGATGAAGCGTGATTAGTCTTGACACGTGTACGCATGATTATGGACTGCCATTTCGGTCGTGATGATCATGGCGATGATGGCGATGAAGGACGATTTTCTGACCGAAATTTCATTAACGAACGAATTTTACGATCTTTGAACGAATTAACTGGAAACGCATCAATGACGGCGATGCAATTTAAGAAAATCGAAATTGAACATTGAGATTCTTGGATGGAGTTATATTAACGGTAATCGTGCGAAATATTTTGCGATAACGTGAAAGGAAATATTTGCCTGTTAACAGGATGAAAATCGACGATGCTTGGCTATGCAAACTTAATTTGCAAGTGTTCTAAGCGCAAATCGTTGAACGAGAGATTCAGCTCCATCGCTGCAAGTAATCTCTACATCTATCTGATGTTGGCCTAATAGAGATGAACACGTTGCTGCATTTTGTTTTGACACTTCGTAACGTAACGCGTAACGTATTGATCATTACTATTCTTGCATGGTTAAGCAACCGCGTTTCACCGAGCATTAATAACAATTATTGCTGTTAGACGATTCCGTCGCTTTCACGCGCGATTCGCACGAGATTATAAAAGTTATGCGAGATGCGGTTCTTCTTTGTTCATTGGTTAAACTATGTGGTTCAACGATCGCGTAACCGTCTCGAACTCCGATGTTTCGCGTTAATAGGTTTGGTTTTGGTGTTCTAGGAGATATGAAAATGTTATTAATCATCGCGCATAAGCATGCCTGGTGGTCTATTACGAAGATTAATAGCACTTATCGCGATAGCCTGCCAATCCGAGGTTTTATAACGTTGACAGACGAGTTTCAAAAGAACCATGTCATAGTTTGTTGCTCGTACCCATCTGTTTAAAAATCAAACCGAACACCTTCAACTTTTATCGTATTGCTCTTTCCGATGTCGATGTTTGACATATTAACTGACCGAATTACGGTCGAATGACGGAATTACGGTATTATATTGGCAGAAAAGGAATACCATGCTTTACAATGAAACAAATATTTGTATTTTACTATTGTAGGGGCACATGAGCGTAGTAAAAGTCAAGTTGAAATGGAAAATTCAAATTTGGGAGAGACTCATATTATCGTACCTTTGAATGCTGACGTTGTTTTGGTTTACAAGGTCTAGAGGCCAATGAACTCTGAACAAATTGTTATCGCCGTTTCTTGTAATTTTCAGCCAGAGTTACATAAAAAGGTTAACTTTTTGTGGTATCGTCCGTTGATACAAACGTATAAACGTGCTTCCTAAGACAGAGTATTATTATCCTTTCTTCCATCGGCATAGGAGTATGGAGTGACCGACGATTACAACAGGCATTCACTATCTCAGTACTTCCCATGGCAACTTTGCATTTATTAAAAATTATTAGAATCTAATTTAAATTTTGATAGCAAAATGAATACTACAAAACTATCGATTAACGATGAAAAAAGTAAACTTTTCACATAAAATAATTTCCATTTTAAAACTACTAATAGATTAAGATTAAGACTAATAGAATAAAAGGTTTCTTTTTGAAGAATATATATATATATATAATATATATATAATATATATATAATAATAATATATAATGAAAACTTTTACTTTCATTCTAATTATATTTGTATTAATTATATAGGAAAATGTGGCTATCTTAAAATCAACTTGGATATTCATAAACGGAATGATCAAAATATATCCGTCGTTTTAATTCTATGAGAAACTTAGCGAGAGCAGTAACATTGTGGCATGTAGTGCTAGTTTGAAATTGTTCAGTCGTGGAATGGTTTTCCCTTTATACCGTGCCCTAGGGTGCGGGAAGTGTTCGAGATTGCACGTGCAGCTGCAAGGATATTTTGCAGCGAGAGCAATTTACGCGACCAACACGAAAGTGTAATACCCGTTCGGAGTGCTTAGATCGTGAAAAGGATGTGGGGACTACGGTTGTTCGTGTAGGTCAAGGAAGGAATGCAGTTGACAAGGTCGGGTTGTGATTGTAGGTACCTAGGTACTAGTTCTCACAGCTATTAATAGACCGATCAGCATGAAAATCGGTTCCCGTGGATTATTCATTTACCGCCTTTCATTGTCTTCCTCTCGTTTAGATATCCCCCCTCTCCCTTAGGAACGGTTGGAATCGATTCCTTCCGCTGGTTATTCAATCCTGCTTTCAAACCTTTCGATTCTGATCACGTGTCGCGTAACTGTAGGAGACGACGAGAACTTCATTCATCATCAGCGAATGAGTCGATGATCAACGCGACAATCACAGTGAACAATTAATAATGTCGATGTTACGAAGATGATCGTATGTCTGTCCTTGCATGATTAATACTTAGCGCTCAGAGTACCGACGTGCTATGGTTTGGCGTTATTGTGGGGGCCCGTAATGGATCAGTATAAACTCACGTTTGCGTCCTTTATTCTTCTTTGTCATTTAAAAATGTGCTGGTTTGCTTATAAGAACTGATATAATTGTAAATATAATTCCGGCTGTAAAAATTGGATTGTCGAAAAATATAAATAAACAACAAAATATTTAGCTAAAATAGTTCGCAGAACTAGTTTTCCACTGCTGTTTGAACAGCGCGGAATAAAAATCATATGAATAAAAAAAGAAGATAGAAACTGAAGTTTGTTTTAGGTATATGTAATAAAATAGAAATTAAGTCTAAATTTGTAATATGAGCGAGAGTATGCTTTTTCCTCGAGGTACAGAATTGAAAACCGACAAAAGAATTTACATAAACTGAACGATCTAACAAAGTTCTTAAGAACGTGGGTTTAAGCTGTTCCAGGCACGAATCTCCGAAACTTAAAATGGTTTGTTTACCGAATATCGATGAACAACGGTTGTTTGAACCGTAGCAGCAGTATCGATGATCTAGCATCGTATACGGGGCCATTATCAGGTGAGATCTGAAGTAACGACGGAAGTCGAAATAATTTTGATAGGGTAACATCGAGAAAGCGTTGTACGGATGATACAAATAGGAATACGATGGAAAATTATTCAACGGTGTTCTTAGCGGTTGAAGTGTTCTTAGATTTATGTTCAATGAGTTCCATTCCTCCATACGTTGAAGATCAGACGTGAAAAACAAACTATTTTTCAATGTAAAGTCCATTGTTTCGTCATCGTAGATATTCAACTTCTCCATTACGTTTTCTATGTATGTATCGTTGATATTGAACGATTGCTCAAGCTTCGTAGAATGTACATATGTAAGTACTTGTTGCATAGGGTATCACAGTTCTTTGTTAAACTCAATTCCCTTCATCGATTGTCTCCGGTAACTTTGATATCCTTGCACCTCTTCAAAATGACCATGTTTGATTGGTATATGGCCCGTACGTTATTACGGGCTTATTACTTTTAGTATTCTTGTTAAAAAATATCCTTCCATGTTGGCACGTATTATGGATAAATATTAGATTTAATTTTAATGCAAAATTTTTGTGTACTTCGGTTGATACAAAAGCGTGCTATTAAACTCACTTATTTGCTTGTCACGAATAAAAACCTTGTATCAAATTAAATATGTAAATCTTTAATATATATTAAATAGTATATAGATATATTATTTTGATAACAACGATCACGTACTTTTTGAAAGTTTATAAAAAATTATATTTACGTAAGGTTTATGCAAGAAGCAGCTTTCAGTAGAATAGCATATCATGGGTCAGACGCACCGAAAAGCATCGATCCCCTCCTTCATGCGGTACCATTCGACTAATATCATCGGCTCTAAACTAGAGTTTCAATAAGCATCCAGTAATTGATGTCGCCGTTTGTCTTCTATTCTCTTTATCATATATTTTTCATTTTCAATCATAATGCGAAGCAAAGTACAAAATAATAAATTTAATAAAAAACAGAATCAATACGGAATGAAACAGAACGAAAAGGAAGAGGAACAACACGTCGTGTTAACATTATTTAACCAGAACGTAACAAGTTAGCCGCAGCACATTCACGAACATGATGAGAAACTAATCAACTAACGTATCCTATTGTGACGTTAAACACGATCCGATCGATCTTTTATTTCCAGAATACGAAGAAAATATCACTTTCCTCGGTTACTATGTTGAGATACCAAGAGCGATTGGTACTCGTCCAAGTATTTTTCCATATTGTTACATTCATAAAACACTATACCGTTCCGGCCGGCACACGTCACCGTGTAATTGCGTCGCACGTTCCTCCGCATATGACGTTGCTCGCGCGTGGCCCCGGAGCGAAAGATCAATGATTCTCCAAGATGTGGCTCGCTTGGAATACTCGTCCCTCGGAAAACTGGCTCATTCATGTGCCATCTCGCGAACGAACCGTCCGTCTTCGGTAAAGGAAGAAGAAGAACCGTCAACTTTATCGTATGAAACTCGATCCCGCATACGCCCTTCCAAGTCGACGTTATTTCTGGCATAACAAAAATCCAGGTTCACCGTCGTTACCATCGATTCGGCTTCCGGCCAACGACAGTCTCTGACCTCTAATCGCCGGTAGATCGAGGGTCATTGGTATCGGTTTCATTTGCGAATGATGTTCGAGGAATCAATGCAGCTTAATTAACGCACAGCAGGTCATAGATTTCTTTCACCACAGATAATTAGCTCCTCTGTTTTGTTCGTCCAATGGTTAACTATATTCGTTAGATTTTCGATAGCTTGTGCGTGGAGGGCACGATGGAAAGTGGTTTATCGCGTGCTGGCGCGAGTTCAGACGAAGCCGAACTAGCACCGGTGCACGTCCGGGAAACCGCGTGGGTTGATATTCAACCCTGCAGCACCGCTAGCAACCAGCACCCCCTCCCTTTCTGAACTTACTACCTTCCCTCTTCGCGCTACTCACTACACAGACGCGATCGCGATGCCTCAACTAGCCCCACGGCAACCAGTCCTTCATAACCGACCACTCGAAATCGTGTTTAGGAGACACAATAATAGAGGCGTTTATAGCGTTTCTGTGAAGTCGTCGACGACTGAATCTGGCCGAGCATAAAGATTTTCAAGAAAGGGAACTGCGTAAAACATACAATTTTATAGTGACGGACGTTATAGGTGTTAAAGATTGAGAGTGTCAATGATTGGAGTGGGATAAGAAGTTGACACTCTTGGCACGATATTAGAGCAGCTTATTATCTCACGCCTGTCTATCATTTTGTTAAGTTATTAATTTTTTGTCGTTGCTTACTTTAGATGATAGATATCTAGGTACATATCAGGTCAGTCTATAAGCTCATGTGTATTTTTGTCCTATTATTAATGTAACGCAATGTAAATAAAAAATAATGTAGTTTATTATTTCTTGCCTTTAGTAGATCCATGAGGGCTTTCTCATTGCATCGTCACATTTGTCTCCCTTTGCAAATAGTAACGTTTTATTGCCTTTTGTGCAATTTATTATCTCGAGTAACTTCGCGGATTTTACGATTCCCCGATTTGAGATTATTTTATTAAATTAGTCATTTTAGTGGATTCAATTGTATTTGGAAACGAATATGCGCGTATTTCTTCAACGTTCTTCAAATAAAAGATGCATGGTAAAATTATGTAGCTCGACCGATGCACGATGACAATGCGACTACACGCGTAACTAAAATGCGAGTCAACTTTGTTGACACCATTACTTGAATAACTCGCGTTTATATTGTTGCAAAACCACTAGGCAGCATTGGAGGTGATCCAGAAACTTTATTTCGATAAATGTTCGCTGAGTGGAAAGATATAATAAATTCGTAGCGCAGACCACCAGTCTAGGTCCTAGAAGTTTGTAGTCTCGTATGTAATGTAATGTAATGATACAGTTACTCGTTTATGGTTTTCAAAGCGGAACAGATGAAGCATGATTGATGTTACACACGCGTTTTATACGACATATGTAGTGTAATGTACGCATGTTATGAAAATCGGAGCAATAAGGGTATCAAATATGGCATTATGGGCGGCAACTAATCATTACAGTTGCGCTGATCACTTTCGTGGCTCGTTCTAGGTATTCTCAACAAGAAAAGATTGCTCGCTCGCTAAGCTTTGGTCGGACAATGATATACGATTCCTCTCAAAGACACGATTACGACAGCTGTTGAAATCTCGATACGATATTGTTTTGCTCGTTTTACAATTAACGATTACTGCTCAACAATTAGAGATTTACGAGTGTTCCAACTTCTCTAGTTCTGACAACGTCATTCAGCTCGGTAATCACACGTTTTACCATTGTTGAACGCAGAGTTGAATTATACCTTGTCACCCATGTAATTCCCTTCACAAGCAAAGATACCTAGTGCAACGCGCGATAATGCGCCGATAACAATTCAGGAAAACTTGAACTCTCATGATAACGATTTCCTGACAAGGATGAACGATCGCTGAGCGAGATGTGAGTGTTCTATTCTATCGTTCGTCGTGTGACTTATCGATGAAACTATTTGATGCTATATATAATTAAAATGGAACTAAACCGAAGTTTTCGTATATTAATCGTTGAAAAATGAAAGGGGAATGTTACTAAGATTAAGTCGATAAAATATAAAGAGACGTTTTGTGATCCGTCGATGAGGGGTAACATTTTTTACACACGATGTATGTTCGAAATAGACGTCATTAAACGAAAAGGAAAGAGAAAATGATTTCTTACCGTCGCTACTACATCGGGAGTCGACCTTCCTCCTTTTCAACTTGAGGTCTTGAAACAAGCTCATGTTGTCTAGCTCACACGGGCTGCTCGTAAGGGTCATAATTCCTGCAAATAAAACGATAGGAAAAGGATTAGGTTTATCGGTTGATCGTTGGTACACCAGTTTGACACGTATTATCTTGTTATAGTAAATATATAAATGTAATATATGATGGTAGGTTCAAAGGATCGTACAAATTAAAGTCGCGATAGATGCCTCGGCAGCGTCTGTCACGAAAAACATCTTCATTAATCATGAACCGTCTAGTCACGTTTCTCTTTCATTATACAGCAGTGATATATAAATGAATGGCACGGTGAAGCTTTCGCGTGGATCAAGTTTCAGCACAGAATTCATGAATAAAGAGCAATTCACACGGCAGTGATTGCTCGGACATTCTACGTATTGTTACGTAAATCATTACATTGTTAAAATATAAAGCACATTTAGTACATCTTTTACGAACTCTGTTGAAAAGCAGAATGTTGTTTTTGTTATTTTTATGTTAAAAATAATACTGGCTAACAAAAGTTGCATATTTAAAAAACTATCTAAATCTTGAATTTCCAAGCTGTGGTTCGCGATGTCTAAGAGGTTCGTAAAGTGTTTTTCGGAGGATCACGACCAGAATTTATTCTGATATTAATAATAGCTGTTAAAACTAGCTTCGTTTCATTACTAAAAATTCCTTTTTATGGATCTACGCTGGGGATAGACTCGCCAGTTATTTAACTACTATGAACAAAGGTTATGAGTCGGAAAATTTTGGGAATGTTGTTTTAAATAAACTTGCATCTGCTTCTGTAAATTTCTATTGATAAAGATACCAAAAACGACGATAAAGGTTATGTCACGCGTGACTCATTACTAAAGAGCAACTTTCTCACAAGTCGTTTCACGCTTCTCAATACGAGATTACGGCTTTCCCTTCCTGTGGTTCGTTCGAGAGCGCAGGCTGGTAGGTCCATAACATAAGATGCTTCTTGACTATTAGTGATGGAAACCATCTCGCTTGGCCGAGGATATCGGCTATCGCAAAGAGAACGGATTGAATGTGAAAGTAGATACGTGTGTCGGACGCACGCGTTTGCGATTACGGCGAACACATAGCGTTCGCCATTAACCCCTCTTTAGCCAATAGCATACAATTGGATCGTTGGATGGAAGTATCTTTGAGCGGCACTACACGCAACGATATGATTTGATGCCGATCCATCGTAGAATCGACGAATGAATCATAGAATCGCGATAAGCTTATAAAAATTTCACGAAATCGTATAACTTCAACCAATAATGAACAATAGAAGTTGTAGAGTTTTACTGATAAACGATGTAGGTAAGTATCAGGAAATTAAGGAGTTACTCTTTTGGCGGGAAATGATATAAATTTCATACTGTAAAATTTGGAATAATTTACTTTAGCTTCTCGGCCTATTTAATTAACAATAGTCGACAATCTAAAAAAGAAATCGAATTTTACCTAGTTTGCTCTTGAATAATCTCGAATAATAAGTATTTGAAGTCGATATTCAAAATACATATACATATGTATATTTCAGCGTCATCGCTCAGATATCATAGATAAACGAATAAGTTGATGAATAAGTGTCGATTTGTGCACCAGGTCAGTTTAACAATGCTCGTTCACTCGTACAGTGTTCTGATAATGATGAATCGCGTCTTATCGTTGTTTGCCTGCTGTTTGTAATTAATGGTCGACAGAGACGAGAGGCAGTTTTACGGTTGTACGCGAGAGAAATGGTCTATGACACACCATGGGTCGTTTTAATAAACGCGATGTTGCGGATAATACGGGCCAATCGTATGCGAACGCTCGATTCATGCAACCACGTTCGCGTGTAGTGCGTTTGGTGTGGTTCTGGCGGCCGTTTCGAATCACCTATCGTATAGAGCGATACTGGGTAATTGATGTTGGCCGATATTAACGTTGGCAGGTGATTTTTCTTGGGAAGGGAGAAGGAAAGCATTAATTCATAAAAAAATGTTTAATCTCATTGATGTAGGTACTCGTATTTAGAGCTGCAATCCATTTTTACGAACATCTCTGACATTTGGAATAGGAGATCTGCCAGATAGGAATTAGAAATTAGTGTAAATACGTATACCAACTGAAGATTGCACAACAGTCTTGTTAAAAATTTTTATTACGTTGCTCTAATGACGTCCACTAGACGCAAGTATATCATTTAAGAAATACGTTTATCCTGCATATGTCTTGTCTGTGGAGTCTTGAATTTCCATTTATCTTTAACAGTGTTTATTTCATCTTCAACTTTGTGGAAGTTTAAATTTACAAACATTTGATAACGATCATCCACGCCCCCTGGCTTGCAACCAAGTCAAGTTTTCTACGCTCAGGCTTAAGCAAATAATCGCGTATCGTAAAATCACGGAACAACTTTCTCTCTCATGTCAAGTACTCTTACAGATCGAACAATTTCTCTTACATACGACTGCTCCATGTTAAGCAACAGTCTTTTTCTGTACGATCTTGTCGGAAGTTTTATACAGGGTGGCGTACGCAATTCGAACAAACTGTGTTTTTAAAATAGTTGGAGATACGTAAAATGGCACAAAATTAATTCCATACTAAATATAATTCTACAACATTCCATTTTGCCTTATGTTACTCTTTTCCATGTCTAACTACATCTTCCATTTTTAGTTGCATAGATTGCCTGTATTTAAAAATATTTCCCCTTCGCGTTCTGTGTCGTATGTCTACGCGTTCCGCTGCCCACATGATCGATGGGACGATGTATTCGAATTTATTGGAAGAAAACAAAAAGAATGAAACAATTCGATTATGAGCAAACATGCGAAGACGTGCAAGTGCACCTAATTGCGTTTCGCGCGGATAGAGCGGTCCATGTTCAAGAGCGCGGTAATTTAACGCAAACTATCGATTCCCCCATACATTCTATCTTATATTTATCTCTGAAACACCGCTTTCCGTTTCGCAGTATCCAACTCGATTACAAGCAATACACCAAGTATTTCCGATAAACACGACGCCACTCGAACGCGTAGCCGTTGGAGCGTCACGTACTGTGGTTGTGCGCGAGCAAAGGCTAACAGCTCTAGCAGGAAGCTGAGAGAACGAGCCCCTTGGCCGCAATCGAAAATACCAGTAGCATCGGAAAACCAATGGATTCGTCGCGAAACGCTGCAATGTACCAATACCCGGTCAAGTGCAGCATAAGTGTAGCGAAGTTACAGAAACGAGCTAAGTGCCACAGATGTAAACGTAGCTTAAGCTAACTCCAGAGCCACGTGGGCGGGTATATGCGTAGTAGGTTTGTGCTGCACCAGATGGCGTTTACGTGTACCATTGCATGGACGAAGCGCATCCACGATCCACGGCCACAGCAACGCTGGTGCGCCTGCGCGCTCACATACGGCAAGCGGCACTAAACGGGTGTGCGTGGTGGTGCAGCGGGGTCCTTGCTCCCTGGCGTATGTGGGTCAGCAGTCTCACACACGCTACTATTCTTGCGTAACCAATGCATGCATACGACCGACAGCTGCCGCCACTGCGGTGTGCACATGCACACACCGAGACGGAAAGTGCAGCCAATGCACTAACCTACGGTCTCTTCTTGCGAGGCCGCTGGCGCGGCGCAGCGATCTTGTTGTGTATACGCGAGTATGTGCATGTGCACGCGCCTCTGTGTCGGGCTCAAAGCCACGCAAGCTCTCGCTATCTCGGCCAAGCTTTTTCGAGGTTCGCGCTTTACCCCGATACTCTTGGTATTTGCTTCATTAAACGTGGCGCTGTCGCAAAGAAGGAGGGAGACCGCTAGGGCTTTTCAGATATATCGTGCCCTTTCTCTTCTTTTTATCTCGGTGCTCTTCGTCGACCGCTTCGCCGAGGCTTTTAATTGAACATCGGAAGTCGCTCGATAATTGGAAAGTTGTGTAACACGTTATTATCACATGTTAGGCGTATTCCTCTGTTGAATGGGATTTTCGCGAGACTTAGAATCGATTGCTCAACTTTGTACGCTTATTCCTGTAACTACATACATTGGACTTAAAGTCAAGCGTGTTATATTTCCTTTATCAAAATATTTAAAAAATGTGTTCGGTTCGATAATAGTTCTTGACAAAATTGTTTACTTTATATCTTATACATTTATATTTTACTTAAATGTTGCATCTTTTTCAAAATATTATATTTGCGTAAGTTGTCAGACATCTTCCTTCTTGTGTTCTTTTTGTTTAGAGTTTATCTTGTTTAAAATGTTTCTCTTTTGATTAGAATATAAAGGACCGTATACAACAATATTTATGCTTGCAACGTTTAGTATACCCATGGTTTAGCAACGCTTATGTAATCGAATGAAAGGTTAGAGATTTTGTTTTACATAACAGGAAAGTAAAAATATTTTTTAATCGATCGCGACTTCGAGGTAATCGCATGTTACATTTTCCTTCGTATCGATATTTTCTCCGGTGTCGTGTAAACCGGTATAATTATTTTCGTAAATCCATTTCCTGACGGTCGTAATAGGAACGTAACCGTAACAGGAAGTACCTAAGCTGCATAATCCATCGCGTGATGATTGAATGAAAAGCATTAATATTAAAGAGTAGATTTAAACATTCAAAATCATTCTGTCTACATAAATGTTTCATTGCAAAAGATTCTTTTTCACACCTATAGCCTCTGTTATTTTATCTCTGTTTTTCAATTAACTGTTACTCCGAAACTGATCGTAACAACGGTTTCACCGTAAAGATAAGAATGCCGTCAAACTGTTTTCTATATACAAATAAAAAACCTTAGGATTCTTCTATACCATATTTCTATCCAGTTAACAACATCACGAATCTACCGCGTAACAGTGCCGCGTAATTTTATGTACCACGGGTAGATTTTAACGCTATAGGGGCCACTGATGGTGAAAGTGACTCTCCCACGCCATGACATCCTAGATCTACAACTCCCCACTCGAATCTGTCCGACTCTAGGCTCTCTGTTTCTCGTGTTTGGAGGCTCTGCTACTCATTTTTTTCTCGGCTAACTCCTGTTCAAGTATCC